TAATTTCACCACACACTGCACAGCCTATAATATTACCGATACTGCCAATTTGCAGTATGTGATGGGTAGGGTACCTACTCACCCCTGCCTCAGCCCCTCCTGCGCACAACCAAACCACCCTGTGTGACAGTGCCCCCTGGTGGCCAGATCAAGAAAGACTTTTAGTCAACATCTTTACACTTCCTATGGTGTTTCCCTTAGAGCATCAGTCCAGCTAGATGGTTGGGCTTTGAATTAAATGTGCTAAAGACTCACTGGGTTTTATGTGATGTTCACGAATCCTTCAGGGCCGAGATTGCCATGCTCACCTGACAGATGAGGGATTTTCATAACCTTAAGTCTTAATTGTCATTACATATTTTTGGTGAAGTATTTCATGGTTTACATCACGGCCTCCAAGAAAGCTTCCCTAACCACACAAGTCTTCCAGATCACAGCAAAATCAGACTATGCAGCACTGTGTGTGTTCCTGTCTTCCTGCTCTCCCCTCGCACCCCATCCTCATTAGAAGTAGCTTTTGTGAGGCCTGAAGAGTAACTATCTTACCACCTTATTTCCAATAACTAGAATGGAGTTAAGTACATACCATACCCTAAATAATGTATTGATTAGGGGGAAAAAAGAAAAGAAAAGGGATGACTGGAGTGTTTCTTACATGTGCAGATTCCCCGTCCCTCTGCCCTTCGGATAGATCTACTAAGTCTAGGGTGGGTCCGGACCACCTGCTCTTCTAACAAGCACTCTAGGTAATTGCCAGTGGTCCCTGAACCACACCTTGAGAAATATTATCTACTCAGAAAACAACAACAACAAAAATTCTGTGGTCAAATAAGTTTGCAAGATACTATATAACATGACTTCCCCTCTCTACCCCATGAGATCTGCAGTCGTGCCTCACATTAAAGGTTCTAACAGGTACTATAGTAAAGAAACTAGTGTAACGCCCCTTAACTCAGACTTTTCCCAAGCTTATTTGGCCATGAAACCTTTTTTTTTGGCAGATCTGGAGGGGCAAGTGTCCCAAGGAACACCATTTGGGAAACGCTGCCATGGAGGGTTCATGTACATCTCAATTCATATCATCCCCAAGGAATCCCAGTCTGACTCGTTCTCACTCTGCCTTTATCTTTCTTCCATTTGTGAGCTGTAACAATCCCTCTGGTGACTATCCACAGCACACACACCCTAGAGCTGGCTAGAGATACACCGCTGTCAAGGGAAAAAAAGAAGAGGAAAAAGAAGAAAGAAAATCCAAATGTTTTGATTGCAGTTATAAGCACTCAAGGTCCAAGCCCTCTTACCACCTATTACGTAAGAGTGTTCTCAGGGTCTCATTTGATTCTTGCAGGGAGTACATCAGGGACTGAGGTCATTCCCATTTTATAAATGAAGAATATGAGGCCCAGAGAAGGTGAGAAACTCACCCAGACCTGGAATGGAAACCAAAGTCTTCAGGATCCTATCCTAGTGCCCTTTCCACACATCAGGCATTCGTGATCCAGGCTAATCTGCCGATCTGGGCTCCTCAAAGACTGTTAGCTTGCAGTACCTCCTCTGAGTCAGAACCTTTTGAATACACTAAAGGGCTCTGCCCATAAGACTTCAGAGTACTCAGATGACTCCTTCAGATGTTCTATAGCAAGCCTCACCCACCTCCTTATCCTTGTCTAATTAAACCTAATTTTCTTCACTTACCCAAATAAAGAACCATTTCCACTCCATCTTGTTTCCTTCCTTTATTTAAATTACGATACTGCAATACTGTCATTTTCTATTTCTGTCATTATACATGCACTGCAATTTATGGGCATCAGAGAATAAACAGGCATTTATGAGCTAACCTGGGAACCTAACTTCTTTATATAACATTGGAAGTGGAATTCTACCCATTCCCCATTCCCACCCCCCACCCCCCAGGAGAAACAATCAACTAACAGAAGGACTTCGGGAAGTGGATTCATTTACACATTAGGAGCTGCCTAAAATCTCTTCTGGGGGTGCCCCCTTCACCTTTCATCATGCCAGTGGACCCATCTGCTGTCTCAGCACCAGCCCGGGAGACCAAGTGGGGGCGGTTAGAGTCCTGGTTTCACTAGGCAATCTCTTCAATGTATTTCCGTTTCCTGTTTTGTGCATTAGTCCAGCAGCAACACTACCTGCACCACCACCAAGTATGGGCTGGATGCTGAGCCATCCCTACTAAGCTGATTCTCCACGCCATTACTCAGGAAGGGAGAAAAGTGAGGGCCCCCAGAACTCCCCTTCATAGAGGATTGGAAAGTGGCCTTGAAAGGAGATGCTCCCAATGGGACAACACTGCCATCTCCTGGCCTGTCTGGGTACAGCATGTCTACTCCGTGGGGTCTGCTGGCCCTGACCATATTGATCTGCACTCTTTATTGACAGAAACTCCTTCCTGATCCTCTTCACCGCCCCCGGAATGATTTGGAAATTTTGTTAGCAGAGGACCTCCTCCAGCAAACGACTATGTTTTGCCCAGAGCTTTTCATTACTTAGACTTGTTTTTCTTCCTGCCCTGCTGTAGGTCTGTTTGCATGTCTCCCCCGCCACGTATTCTCTTTTCCCACACCACACCTGCTGCTTGTCCTTCCTGACATCTCCTTGCTCACAATCCCTTGAGTCATTCTTACTCTTTCTCCCTGGCTCATTCAGCATGTTCCGGCTTTAATGATCCTTGAATCCCTGAGAATTCTAAGTTGAAAAGCAGAGCTTGTGATGTCATGTGACAAACATAAACTCTGGGGCCCTATTCCCAGAGGAAGCTGCTGTCAGGAACAACCAGCTTTAAAGTGTGCCATGAAAGGACCCTTCCCTTTACTACCCAGCCCCCTCAATTCCTGCTGATCCTTCCTCCTAAATATCTCCTTAATCTGTGCCCTCTCCCCTTTCCCACCATTTCTGCCACAGACCCAGGAGCTGTGGTCTACGGCAATAGCCCTTAACCTGTCTGGGTATCTCCACCCTCTCCCCAAAACTCCCCTCAGCAGCTCCCCACCATTCTCTAGCCTGCCACCAGACGGAGATTTCCAAAATGCAAGCCTGACGGCCAGTGTTACTGCAAGATTCAAACACCTGTGAGCATCCTCTGCTGCCCAACTCGTCCATCCTGGCAGAGGTCCTCAGGGCTGGTTGCATGCTGGCTTTGAAAAGCTCCAAGGCACAGGACTCAGCTGAGACCCCTTGAGGCAGAGTCCCTGGAGGTGAAGCAGGTTCCATATACCTACAGCTGAGCTGATTCGGATGCACCGTGCGAGCCCAGAACGGTCCCTGCCCATCTCTCTGTCATGGCTCCCCACCAAGCATTCCTCATCCCACCAATAAACCACGTTCCTCCCTCACCCACGCCACACTCCGGCCTTTCCCATCTTTGCCACCACGTGCCCTTTCCCCGAGGTGCCCTCCCTCCCTGACAGACTCAGACTCTTCCTTCCGGACCTAGTGCTGACCATCACGTCCATGACGCTTGCCCACAGTGTCAGTCCACACCCCGGTTGATTCTCTTTCCCCGACGTGCTACCTGCTGTCACAGTTTGTGCCCACAGCTGTCCGTCCGCACTGCATCCAAGGCCGCTCAAAGGCAGGGCCTGTGCTCTGTCCATGACTGCTTGGCTAGCATCTTGCGTGGAACAGAAAATGGCTCAGAACCTTCAGCAGTTGCTTGTGATGCTTCTGTCCTTGCCTCTGCCCTCCTGCCTGGCTCACAGCCCATCCCTTCTGTGACACCTGTTGTTCTCTTTGGTCTGTCCTCACAGGGAGGGACTGCCCCCACAGCTTCAAACCCCCGATGGCTCATAATCTGACTCCCAGGAAAGTGGCCCTCTGAAAAGCAGGTTTGTCCAGACACCCATCCCCGGGGCCTACACTCAGCTACCGGGGTGGGGGTTGCCAGAGCTGGTCCCCTTACAGTGAGGTCTGGCACAGACATTTAGGGCTGGAATGTTCTCCTCAGTCAGATAAATACCCTTTAAAAATGAGCTTCTCTACTGGTTCCAAACCCCATTGTTCGCCGTCTCCCAAGTGTGAGACCCCAGGCCGACCAAATTCCATTACAATGCACAAACTGTACCTTCGAGTGCACTTAGGTTAAATTCAGAATTCATGTGCACTCATGTGAGTTCAATAACACAAGGCACGTTTTTTTTTTTAAATCAGGTGGTTTATTATTTTTTCTTTCTTGAATAGGAATTTAAGTTACTTTAATAATGATCACGGACTTCACTACAGAAAAACCTTCCAGAGTCACAGGAAAATAAGCCCCAGGGATCCGACTGGCCAAGTGCCCATTCAAACAGTACACCTCCATCTCGGAGCAGCTTCAGGAAACCTAAGGGTCCGACCATGTGGGGGGCCAGGGAAGGGAGGGGGGCTGAGAACTGGAGGGCATGAACGGGAGTCACAGAAGAGTCTTTGGGAGGAATCAATCATCAAAACAGTCAAACTATTTAAAGTTGAAATGAGTGAGAATTTATTCACAACATATGCAGATCTATGCAAGTGAATATGCAGATGGGTGGGAAGGGGGCCCTCGAGAAGAGCAGTTTAACACAGAAGCTTGGTTTCCAGCATGCTGGACACTGGTCCTAACTTAGCTAGATGGTAATCCATCTTGGTCCCTCATGGTTCTTCCTTTGTTCTTCCTCCTAACACTAGCATTTTTTAAACGGGGAAAGATTTATAGCTTTTTTTCTCAAAACCCAGTGGTTATGGGAGATAACAAGCATCAGACTTTAGCCCCTTGGCCATCAAAGCGAACCCTTCCTTGGTGCTTCTTTCTAAGGAAAAGATTTCTAGTAGCAGAGCTTTACATACATACATATATATATATATATATACCAATTTCCAGAGATTTCCAATTGGTGAAGTGCTAAATGATTATTCCCCCCCCCCCCCCCGCCCAATCCTGTATATTTGTTACTGAAGATAGACTGAAAAACCTTGCAGTCAGGAGTCGTCTTTCTCATATTCTACCATTGGTTGATTTTCGGGACCCCAGTATATAGATGGGCAAAAACGCAGGTAACCAAGGGAAATAACCTGTATGGTCTGAAGCTTGGTCACGTGCTTTGTCCTGAAGGTTATCCAGCCATCTCAGAAACCAGAGGCCAGGAGCATCCCCCAAACTTCCATGAACCAGTCACCACAACCCACCCTGCCCCAAGCCTACACAGCCCCAACTCTGGGCCGGTCTTGTCTCGTGTGATGACTGCTCCGATAGGCCATCAGAACATTCTCGAATTTTCTCCTAGGGTCCACTTCTGTCCAGGACATGCTCCCCACTGTAGCCATGAGGGCGGATTTTCAACTCCACATAAGGAATGGAGAATTCATGTCCTTTCCACGGCTCCCAGTTCACCCCCTACCAAAAAAAAGCCAGCATCAAGAAGAGGCAACTTGGGAGGAAGGAGTGGTGGGCTATGGTACAAAGGAATGCTTCTTTGCCAGGAAAATCACTCCCTCTCTGCTTAGGGGAGAGAAAAAGTGAGACCAGTGGTGACCCGGGTCCTTATGATAAGGGAAGTAGGGCCGAAGCTAGAAACATGCGCCCTCTGCTGGGCATCTGAGGTTTGACAGGCTGGTGACTTGGAAGACACACCCCCCCACCCCCATCCCCACCCCAGTGGTTGGAAGGATGGGGTGTGAGCCCAGGGCAACAGGGGAGACCACAGCAGCAGCAAAGCTAACACACGGTCAACCTGGCCAGCAACACGCACGTTATCCTTGCCTCGCTTTTTTCCTTTCCGAAAAATTAAAGGCAAAAATAAACATATTAATTGGTCAATCGTGTAAAATCATTTTCAATTTAGACTGTTTAGATACTAGCTCTGGGGTAACGAATAGCCTGCTGAAAACTAAATTTCATTTTATGTCTTTTGACTGGTGAGCGCAATAATATTTAATTCACTTAATAACCTTGCAACCTGCAATAAAGAGCCCAAGTGACCAATTTTATATATTTTAATTTGTGAGGTAAATAATAAACAAGAAGCTAAATGCCTTGCAGACTGTGAAAAGCACATTAACCAGATGAATGTCTTTTATTAGCAAATATGGGGATGGTTTAGGGCATGCTGGCTGCTCATTTCAAATATTTGATCTCTGATCACAGGCTTCCCTGCGTCAGCCCACATGCTGCCACCATGATTCATGGACCCACCCTCCTTGGCCTCCCGGGGGGGAAATTTCTTCTTCCCTTTGAAACATCACATAAGGACTGGGAGTCCCCGCTGCCTGGTCAGGGCCAAAGTAATCAAACTGTACCCGGACTTGAGATGTGCTAATATTTCTGGTACTATCAGTGATGAGATGAGTTCTGGGGAGCGGTGGCTTCCTGAAGGCTAGAATAGACCCAGGATGGGAAATCAGAAACCCAAGATGGGGAGGAGCTGGTGGAGGGGATGGATTCATGATGAGCAGGAATAAAGATGCCACGTTCAAGGAGCTGTGTGGGAGCAGCCAGGAGATGCCCCACAGCTGGCAAGGAGTCAAAATGATGCCCATAGGTCAGAGAGGTTTGAGAAGCCATCGGTAGCAAAGTTTCAGAGCAAGGAAGGGGAGAGGAGCCATCGAGAACTCTCAGCCCTGTGTGTACCTCCTGAAATAGGGCTTAGCATAACACTCTGGGTAGACCCTGAGCGGCTTTGGAGAAAGTGGATCCAAAGGTGGGTCTGATCAAAGGCAGAAAAGACTTTGTTTTCCTGGTGATCAAAGGCTTTGAGAGAAATAGCTCTGGTTTCATTGGGAGATCAACCAGAAGGAATTATGAAGTGTCTGTTATGAATGGAATGTTTGCACACCGTCCCCAATGTATATGTTGAAACCCTAACCCCCAGTGTGATAGCAGCTGGGGTGGGACCTTGGGGAGGTAATTAGGGTTAGTGAGATCATAAGGGTGGGTCCCCCAAGATGGGATTAGTGCCTTTTTTTTAAAGATTTTATTTAATTTGTTTATTAATTATTTATTTATTTATTCATTGAGAGAGAGGAAGAATGAGCAGGAGGAGGAGCAGAGGGAGAGGGAGAATCTCAAGCATACTCCGTGCTGAGTGCACAGAGCCCGACACGGGGTTCAATCTCACGACCCCGAGATTATGACCTGAGCTGAAACCAAGAGTCGGACACACAACTAACTGAGCCACCCAGGCGCCCCGGGATCGGTACCATTATAAGAAAAGGAAAAGAGACCAGAGCTCTCTCTCTCTCTCCACTACATGAGGACACAGTGAAAAGGCCGCCATCCACAAGACAGAAAGAGAGCTTCCACCAGGAACTGAATCTGCTGATAACTTGATTCTGGACCTCCTAGCCTCCAGAACTATGAGAAATAAATGTGTGTTGTTCAAGTCAGCCAATCTACGGTATTTCGTTACTAAGACAGTGTCCATATGTGAACCAGTAAACGGAGATGGTGCATAATCTATGTTATCTGTCTCTATCCAGCAGTGGACAGCCTGAGTTCCCACCCACCTAAGCTAAGAAAATGTGCAGTCCTGGTGGGAATGCAGGCGGGGGAATGGGGCTGCAGCAGATGGGCAGGGAAGACCTTGACCTCAAGGCCATAGAACCTGGAGAAGAAGCCCTCCTGTCCTGACTGGAGGCATCAGAAGGAGAGGGGTAGCCAAACCAGCTTGGAGAGTGTCCCCTGAAAGCTTTGAGCAGACGTGGGACAGAAAAGTTCACCTGTCACGTACCTCACTGTGTTTGGTCTCCCCGTATCTGCCATTGGGGTTGGCCAAGTGGCAGTTCTTGTACCACCAGCCACCATGATGGGTCAGGGCACAGTTGCTAAGGGCAATATCATTGTCTCTGTCAAAAGTTGTGAACTTCCATCCATTGTGGTAAGTAAGAGCATCCCCTGCGGGAGAGGAAAGATGAGAGGTGAGCGTCTAAGTTTTACCACTGAGATGGTGATTGTGCTCTGGACTCAGCAGGACAATCTTTGGGCATGAAAATGCCAAGGATCTGGCCAGTTACGTCACAGGGAATCACTCGTCTCTCAAAACAGCCAAGATGAGAACATGATACAGATGAACAGATTCTCCTTCCCGGCCTGTCACCCAAACTTCGGGCCTGTCTCTCCAATAGCCTGAAAAGCCTTGACAGCATTCTCACTTTGAGGCCTTGCAGTCATGTGAAGTAACCAAATATCCAAAACCAAACCCATCGGCTCTCCTCACAGTACCTGACCGCCCCTCGCACGAGGTAACCCCTTGCCCATCTTCCCTGTCTTTGCTCAACCATCCTCCCAGCCACCCCGCCTGGAACCCCGAGACACATCTGACAAACCCGTTGTACCCCTTTATGGAGCCCTTCCTCCTGCAGATCACTCACAGATGCCCTCACCCCAGCCTATGCTCCTCTCTGCGCCTGTCTCAACACAACAGCCCTCCCGGCCTTCCCTGAAGCACATGCACCCACCTCCACGCTCTCAGACTCAATGTCCTCCTTCCCAGCACCTGGAGGGAGCTGGTCCTCCTTGCTTGGCTCTGCAGGCCTAGAGCTTGGCTGTAGCCTTCGCACAATCTCTGAGCCCACTGTCCCCACAGGCACGCGCTGCTTGTGCAGTGGACGGGTCTGCCCCCATGCTTCTGCTCCTGGAGTCTCTCTGCCCGCCTCGGTCCAAATCCTAACCGTTCCTCAAAGGCCAGCTGGGCCCCAGTCCTGAGGAAGCACCGGTCTCCTTAATAATCCTCGCACACACACTCCTCGCACACACACTTGAGTTTCCTGAGCCTTCCTGGCACATAGGTACGGTTTGAGCTTCATGACATCCTGTCTGGAAATCCACTCACATCATTTGACCTGTATCTCTCCTATTTCCCCACTGTCCTTGTCATCTTTTTATCAGTTTATTTCTTAATTCACTCATAAGAGGCGATAATCCCAAGCTAAATCAAGTCATGTTCCTACAATAACACTTAGTTTTCTTCGGATCTCTGAGCTACCGACTCTCTTCGCCCTGGGTACCCTCCTCTGACTCCCTCATGATAGCCTGCGAGGTGGGGCAGGCAGCTCTCAGTCCCAGGAGGAAACGGACTCACAAAGGTTAGACTCTGGGGACTTGTCAATGCCCCACTGGCCACAAACAGCAGGGCCAGGGGACTCAAACCTCAGGCCTCAGATTCCAAGTCCAGGGCTCTTCCCTCCGGTGGCTTCCCCCTTTCCACAGGTGAGTTATGCTAACAAGAGCAAGCCAGCTCTGGTTCTACAAGTGTGGTCCCTGGACCAGCAGCAGCAGCAGCAGCTGAGAACTTGTGAGGAATGCACGTTCTCGGGCCCCACCCCGGATCTACAGAAGCAGAAACCCCCAAGGTAGTACCCACCTGCAATCTGTGTTTTCACAAGTCCTTGGGATGACAAGCCCCTGAGGTGCAAGCTGAAGTCGGAGAACTGTAGTCTGCAACTTCATTTATTCAGGAAACCTCAGACCCCCCTCCCCCTGCCCGCCAGGGCCCAGCACTAGGCTAGGCTCTGGGAATACAGACAGAGGGGGCCCCTGCTCTCAAGGACTTCGCTGGGGGTGGTATGGAAAGAGTTAACATGTTGCGAAAAGGGAAGGCCCCAGATTGTCCCTCTGACCTGGCAGCTCAAACAATGGGTCCTGCCCTGCCTTACCCAGCAAATGGGGGGGGAGGCAGGGCAGCAGGTGGGGGGAGGCAAGGCAGCCACTCCTGCTGAGACAGCCGACGGGCTCCACCCCCATTCGTTTCCTCCAGTCGAGGAAAGGCATACGGTGGCTCTCACAGGCATCTCCTCTCCCCTTCAGCTTTCTGGCAGTTAACTACAGTTTAAAATAACACACCATGGCCCCCTGGTGACCCTTCTAATGAGCACAGCTTACCTAACTTGCATCTAAAGTTCCCAGAGCTGTTTTCTAAGAGTGTGTGCAAAGGCTCTTTCTTTAACGATTTGTCTGTGGTTCTCTAACCTTGGGCGCTGGGATCACGAGAAGTGAAGCAGGTGCCGGGCTAAGTGTGGCAGTTTATTCCACAGACGGATTTTCTCGCTTCCAGAAACTGAAGGCGTGCTGACGTTCAGAGCACAGACAGTGGGTGTACCCATGAATCAAAAAATCACTTTTCTCTGGTTGTCAGGCCCCCAGCCAACTCGGCATTCTGATTTATTAAGCTTATCTCCCTAAGTAAGATAGAGTAGAAAAGCCGGTGGTGGTCAGACCCTCTCTCTTTTCTCAGGGTTGTAGGAGAAAACCCTGGATGAGAAATGAGCACCCCTAACTTCTGGTATAACGGCTTTGGGTGGGCAACTGGCTCTCCTCGGCTAGTGGGTTGGAGGGGTTGGCGGCAGGCCCAGAAAAGCCCAGGGTGGGGCCACTGAGCTGCTCATCTCCTATTTCATCTACCACTACTCCACCATCACCTCCTGAGGCAGGAAGGCAGGCCCAGGTGGCTGAGCCACCTCAGACCCGAGGGAGCCATCCACATCATATCCCCCAGGAGTCACAAAGGACCATGTGTCTGGACCGTGAACCCTGGGACCAGGAACGGGCCAATGGAAGAGTGATGTGCGCCATTTGGGGCTTTCCCTCTTGTCCACGGACCCAACAATTTTTTTCCCCTTCCTTTTAAGCACCAGTATTTAAAAATCCATTTCAAAGCGAGAAAGGCACTTTTGCGTAGAGCAGTCCTTCGCTGTGGATATTTGGCCTCCCTGGCCCCAGCCCACCAAACGCTGGTGGAGTTCCCCAGTTGCGCTTCCAAGTGTCCCCAGGGTGTGGATCCAGCCCTGGTTGGGCGTCACTGAGTCTCCTGGAGGTGGGCCTTGAAACCAGCTGTAAATGGTCGGTTAGCCCATAGAAGCCACTCTGCACCACTCCAAATAGCTGTTTATGTTTTCATGATAACTTCTCAAGAGATGAATAGCATCTTGAAGGTAGAGCTCATTTGATGTCCTCCCTGCCCCACTCCAAGATTCAGAATCAGAAACTAAATTTACCCAGCACTGCCTTGCTGGGGTTTCTTCGTGAGGAACCAGAAGCTTCCTAAATTGCAAAACCCTCCTGGGGACCAATCAGCATATATAAGGAAAGCTAAAACGCCACGAAGCCCACCATGCAATGTCAGAGTTTCCCAGTAGGAACACCGGCACATACGGGGAGACCAGATCGCTGGCTAGATGTGGTGTGATCTGAAGGTCTCCCGAGGCTTCCTATGAAAAAACACATGCTCCACTGACCAGCACTGCGGGCCTGAACAACCTCAGAATGGGAATTATCCCCTAATCACGGTTAAAATGCAAATAGAGTCCCTGGGAGGAGAATCCCATTAATCAGTGAATACATTGACTTCTTTTCCCTCATTTTCCCATTAGCATCAGTTCATTTCCCGGTTATTTTAAGACTGGCCTCAGAACAGGTACATGCGCACGAGAGAAGAGAGGAGGATGGGTGGCCCTAGCGGGTCCCCCGCCAGCAGGCCGGGAGGTCCCTGGGCTTCAGGGAGAGAGGCAGGACATTGTCTCTTGTCCCCATGTCACCAAGCTCACGCCTTCACTGACCCCGATGCAAGCTATCTGGGTCTCAGGGACTATCCTTTACAATATAGAACATCTGTAAGACTGCACAGAAAGCTCTTGCTAGCAACATCATGTGTGAAACACACCTACCCTGCCGGGCTCCATGCTAAGCACTGTTAAACGAGCAAATGCAAAATTCATGTAATTTTTTTTAAAACAACTAAATTAAAAGACCTACAAGAAACTGCCTTAGCAGTTGGCCACTTCGGATCATGGCCCCAGACACTAAGAGGCATCTGTTCATAGTCCTCTGCCATTAGGGGGTCCTAGAGTGGCCTCAGGCTTCATGAGCCCACCCCACTTTCCTTGCCTCTGCTCAGTCCTTGCTCACCGTGGACTCCCCCAGGCCTGGGGACCCCTTCCTTGTTTCCCATCTGAGGCTCACCCTTGCAGACCCAGCTCCAGCCCACTGCCCTGCGGGGAGCTTCCTTCAACAGCCTCGGGCCTCAATGTCGCCACCTTCTCACACCCTATAGCTCTTCATTCTCCTCACCCCTTATGTGGCTCTTTGCAAAAGTCACTCTCTATTATGACTTATCTGCTTACATGGCAGACAAGGGGAGAGACCACGGCCCATACAGTCAGCGGATCCGGCTGGTAACACATTCCTGCATAGTTACCCCCAAGTCAAAAACACGCAGAATCAAACAACACACTTACTTGTTAGGGTTTAAAAACTATAAATCCAGGCGTAAGATATGATATTAAAACAGTAACTACCCCGTCCGTCTGAAACAGAATATCCAATGGTATAATCCCAGTGTTTCAGTCACGTTGCTTTGTTTTGTTCTCTTCCTTCACAACCGAACACACCGTCAACCAGCTTGAGTGCACTGAGCCGCTAATCGAGGTTAGATATTCTCTGCTTTCAGCTGAACGGCTCATCTCTGGGTCCTCACACTCTGCACAGAGTTAATGAGACCTACACTGCTTGTTGTTTGAATCAGAACTTTCATTTTTCCCTTTACTTATGGCAAAGCGCTGCAAAATATTTAAATAATCACACACACACACACACACTCCTGGGCAAGGCCTGCAGGCACGTGGCTGGAGCCCAGCGACAGGTGGGCAGGCACCATGAATCACTCCGGATGCAGGCTCCTTGGCTGATGCACAACAGCCGGAACCAGGGAAGCGTAAGAAGAGCATTTTTACTGGTGGGGGGTGGGGATCAACGCATAACGTACAAAAGTTCCAACTTGAACACTGTCAAGGGCTGCTTTCACACTTCTGGTGGGCCCCCGCCCCCTGCAGGGAGCAGGGCCTGGGCCATCAGTGAGGACAGGTCCCCTCCACGGAGCAACAGGCCATCCCCCGCCCCCCTCACCCCCAGTCCGCGGCACGCGGCAGTCCGATCCGCAGACACACAGGGAGCCGGAGACCCCAGCCGGGAGGAAATGTGTTCTCATTCTCCTACCTGCTGTGCCTCTGTATTTCCCAACCGTGAGCCTGTACCGCTCCTTGCTGGAGGCCACCTGGAAGGAATCATACACAGCATAGGCAGATTCGTTCGCAGTCTGCAGGTCCACTCTCACCTCGTAGCGGGTAGGGGTGCCAGCAGTGAGATTGTGTAGCTTGTCAAGTCCTGAAATAAGGAAGGGAATTCCAATAACCCGTCGACTGGTGTGTGTAGGCACACGCCACTAGCATCTGCGACTTCCAGCACCGAAAGTCACCGTGGCCTTTGCCTCCTCTGCTAATGGGGGCTCTCCTCACACTGTCTCTGTTGGGGGGGGTGCCCGTTTTCTCATCCTATTATTTCTTTGGCACGGCCATGTTTATGAGTGTGGAAACTGTGTCCTCTGGGAAGGGGCCATGCAGGGCAATGGGGCAGTGAACCTGCCCTCGACTCCTTCTGTCCAAAGCGGAAGCCCCTCCCCCTCTCACCCCCATATCTCGCCAAGGAGAAGAGGACATCAGCCACCACTCCGAGGTCTCTGAAGGAATTCTGCACCGTGCGCAGACCACAACCACCATCCACTCTATCAGACAATGAGTCTCCAGATTATGCTTTTTTAATTTTTCATTTCCCTATGGATGCTTTTGGCTCTTTTACTCTTCATGAATATCTGCTCCCGATTAGAACAGAAGGAAAAGGAAAACACCATCCCCATGATGGCTGGCATTACTAGAAGAGCTGCAAAGGGATTCCGGACATGACCTCCTAGGAAGAGCCCTGAACCCCAATGGGTCAACTACTTTTCTAAGACGTGCCAGCTCCAGGTGGATCCTGTGGGGCACACATACAGCATGAAGACCCCCTGTGATGGGCCCACCCTGTCACAAGCCCGGCACATGGCCCCCATGAGAACCTTCCCAGCAACATGGCCCCACCAACACCCTGGTGGGCTGGCTCCTCCGAGTGTCCTGTCCCTGCCACTGGGACGTCTTCCTGAATGTGGGGAGCCTTCTCAAGCTGCCCAGGCAGCCTCTGAGGATGAAATAGCCCCTCTCCCACAGCCCTCCTGGAATCTCAGAGATCATACCAAGCCAGAACTCCTTCATGGGATCCCCAAAGCCTTCCACGTAGGTCCGCCAGCGCTTGAAGAAGTCCAGCTGCCCAGTGTTGCGTCTCTGGAAGACCTGCAAAGGAGATGGACCTTTCACTCTGACACACTTGAACAGACATGACTGAGTGAAAGAGCACAGTAGCCTGGACTGGGGGCTGCTCTGAGGTTAGACAGAAGCAGAGAGAAGGTCAAACTGACCGATGTGGTGACAGACTGAAAGTGGGACTGAAAGAGAGGGCGAGGTCGGGAGCGATTCTTGTGATTTGGGTTTGCGGCGCTGGATGGCTGTTCACTCGGCTCTTCACTGAGACGGGGGCTCTGAGAGAAGACAGGGGCTGCCGGTGTGAGCTCACCTGGGACAAGGGAAGTGTGAGTCACTCCTGAGGTCCCCTGGCCAATGAAGATGCCATAGCAGCAGCTGAGCATAAGGGCTAGGGTTCTGAAGAGAGATCTGGGCCAGACTTGCAAAGGTAAGGGTGTGTCTGAGATGATGCTCAGTGTTTGCCCATTTCAGTCTCCTGTCCCCAGGAACACAGGCAGGAATGCTTCTTTTTCGGGCTCCCTGGCAGTTAAGCTGGAGCCAAAGGGCTGTAAGTGGGAGTGCAGGAGGGCCGGGGGGCTCTCTCTCTCCATGCTTTGTCTTCCACTGCCCTGTGCCTCGGGGCCTTGGTGAAGGCCACGTATCCACAGGGCACAGCCACGAATTGGAATCAGGCCGAATCCCTGAGTCACCACTGAGAAGTGATGCCAAACCCACAGAAGGCTTTGCACACATGAGAAGAGACTGTTCATGTCTTCAGTCATTTTGGGGCTTGGTGTTGGCGTGTTACCACCGCGTAGCCCGCTCCATCCTAAGGAATGTAGAAAGCCACTGGGACACAGAGAGTAAAGCGAAGCCACTGGAGAGGATGAGACCACCTGGGAAGAAAGTGGGAACTAAAAAGAGAAAATGGCCTAGAATCAAGACTCAGGGACCAGCCAGGCACAGAAGGATGTGCTCATGAGGGAGAAAGAGGAGGACCCGGGCATGTAGGAGGACAACCAGGAAAAGCCCATAAAGAGAAAGGTGTGGCCAAAAGCGTCAAAGACAGGTCAGCATCAAGGAACACGAGGTGTAAGGATTGTGTCCACAGAATTTAGTGACACGGAAGTCACGAGTGACTCCAGTAAAGGCTGCGTTGGAGAGAGACGGGGGCAGAAGCCAACATGGAATGGCCTGAAGAGTGAGTGAGAAGTGAGAAAACAGACACAGACTTGGGTACCACTATTTCATGAAAGTATGTGCTGCTTCCTTTTCAAAAGCTCCCCCATCTGGGGAAGGAAGGCAGTGCCAGTCAGAGTAAATTGGATTCTTTCACATGAAGTAAACCCGAAGAGCACCTACAAGCTAAACACACCTGTGTATACTACTGGAATGGATAGTAATGGCTGTCATTCCCCATGACCTTGAAAGCCACACTAAACGCCGTCCTGGCTAATCACAGAAATTACTCTGGGATTCTGGAAGGCTGGGATGGCATCTTTGTCTCTACTTTCCTTGGTACTCGTTCAATGCAGAAGGCCCACCACAAAACCCCATCTCCCTCCTTTCTACCGTGCTTCACCACAGGTGCCTTGAAGTAAAACACGTTATCTCAAATTTGGTAAGGTAAACCTCCCAATATTTGTGCGTTCTTTCTATTTTTTCTGGGAAGAGACAGGGAGGGAGGGGAGAACAGGTTGCCTGCAACGGTGCTGAGAGCCTCACGTGGGAGCTCACATGTCACTCCTTCTGAAGCACCAACCCACCTTTGCTGGCCCAGGAAGCCCTGGACTGGGGCATCGATCTACAGCGGGTGGGGAGAGCCCGGGGCTCTAAGGCCGACCGGGGCCACTTGCCTGGCCAGTGGCTGGTGAGCCAGTCATCTCTGTTACTGAGCCTCTGTCAGCTGCGTGACACACGGGGTTAGAAGCAGGAAGGAAGCGTCCATCTCAGAGGCGCTAGGAGAACTCACGGAGAGGGTAAGTGTAAAAATGTTCTCCAAAGCTACCGAGCTGCCAAGCAGAACTGAGGGAATGATCAGGCAAATCATTCCACACTGCATTAACATTGTGGTTTCTTTCCCCTTTGTCCTTCGTTTCAGAGACTCTCACTCCTCTCTTGGCTTCCTTCATTTCTTCGTTGGCTTATCCACTCACGTAACCACTGTTAATTGAGCAGCGTGTTCAGTGCCAGCTACAGGGCAAGGACTTATGATGCCATTTTACAGACGGGAAAGTTCAAGTAATCACTTGATTAGCCAGATTAAATCATAGTCCGCTGATTATCTAGTGGCGGATGCAAGGATAAAACACAGATCTCTTCACCTTTTCATCAGAAAGTTTGAAAATACCAGTTACACTGAGTTTATTTTCCAAAACCCATTTCTTTAGATTCTAGGGTTAACTGTTCATTTCCTAGCATACTGCCCATTCCGGTCCCTTCCCCGGGACTCTTCCTGTGCCGCGGACAGTGGGATCCCAGGGCAGACGCCGTACCAGTGTTCCTCATACATCAAGTCCAGTTACATTCGCACTAACATAATTAGTTACGGTACAAGGTCAGCCTCAAATCTGATCCTTCCTCCTGGGACAGGCGCATTACAAAGGCATTCTCCAATCAATGAACAGAGTGCCCAAGCATGGTAGGGGTTTGTCCACCTGATTTTTTTTTTAAAGATTTATTTATTTATTTTGGAGAGAGAGCACAAGCAGGGTGAGGGGCAGAGGGAGAGGGAGAAGCAGACTCCCCGCTGAGCACAGAGCCTGACATGAGGCTCGATCCCAGGACCCCCAGATCATGACCTGAGCTGAAACCAAGAGTCTGAAGCTTAACTGAATGAGCCACCCAGGTGCCACTCCCTGATTTTTTTTTAAATGCTTCAGCTCAGCTAGGAAAACTCTGAACAATGGTTCTGATGCTCTCTGCATCACTACTGAGACCCAGCTCCACACTTACTAGCTGTGTCCTTGGGCAAGTTAGTTAACCTTGACAAGCCTTGCTTTTCTAAACTATGAGATCAAGAGGTTAATAGCCCATTTGTCATGCTCTTAAATCCAGGCTTTAGCAAGATCATTAATCATGATAAATCATAAAAGTGTGAAGGCCAGAGACTGGCACATTCATATATAATAAGTTATTATTATATCTCAATAAATGTTAGTTTGCATTTTATTATGTCAGATTCCAAATGAACTGACCCACCGTGACCATCTGTACCTCTCGATCAGGGAGCCTCATTTGACTACCTCGGAATCTAGCCCATTCCCATTCTATGGGGTGAAAACACCTTATAATGAATTGTTTGGGGTAACAGAAGCCCCTTAGCAGGTCCGTCTGAAGGAGGGCAGAGTTCTACACTCCAGAGCTGTCACTGCACTCTAGAACTTACTCAGTGGTCTGACTGATTCCCTGGGGAGAAAAAAAATGAAAATGTCATTTAAATGCCTGTGAAAAGAACTTCTAATGCAGTCCTTAAGGCTTGCAAGGCGGAAAACAAAGATGGAAATGCTTGAGGCACAGAAGTGTTCCCGTCTGGTCCTCAATCCAGCCTGCCTCCTGTGAGACCAATTACCTCAGGGTAGGGTTTTCCTGGCCTCTTAATCACATTGGGCTCCTGCCACCCCATGGAGAAAAATTTCCTTAAAAGGATTTTGGAAGCTCCATTTAAAAGAGCAATGTACTGGGGCGCCTGGGTGACTCAGTCAAGTGTCTGACTCTTGGTTTCAGCTCAGGTCATGATCTCAGGGTTGTGAGACTGAGCCCCTCTCGTGGGACTCAGTGCTCAGCGGGGTGTCTGCTTAAGATTCTCCCCCTCTGCCCCTCCCCCCACTCATGTGCTCTCTCTCTCTCTCTCTCTTTAAATAAATAAAATCTTTTTAGAAAATAAAAGAGGGGCGCCTGGGTGGCTCAGTTGGTTAAGCGACTGCCTTCGGCTCAGGTCACGATCCTGGAGTCCCTGGATCGAGTCCCGCATCGGGCTCCCTGCTCAGCGGGGGGGTCTGGTTCTCCCTCTGACCTTCTTCCCTCTCGTGCTCTCTGTCTCTCATTCTCTCTCTCTCAAATAAATAAATAAAATCTTAAAAAAAAAAAAAAAGAAAAGAGTAGTGTACTAAGGTCATCTCTCAGTGACAAAAGATTCTCGAGCCCAAAACCATGGAAACTGTCAGTAAAAGATCTGGTGTAGAAGTTTTCAGGACTCAGATGTTTTGGGGACTGTGGTAGCTTTGAGGAGACCCCTATAGAATCTCAGTTCCTGTATTACCTTCAGGAGTTTGGGTCAGAAAACAAGACTTGGAGGGGGTGAGGGGCTGGTGTTGGTTAGAATGCATAGTGATTCGATTATTTCTGGAACTGACCTCGGCATCCTGGTAAGTAAGGGTCATTTGCATGAGCAGACTGTAGAAGGCAACCTCCTTGAGGGCAGGGATTTGGGTCTGTTTGGTTCACGGCTGGTTCCTGAGTATATAAAACAGTGCTTGACACATAGTAGGCAATCAATAAATACTTGTGGAAAAAATCGGGGGTATTCCCAGGAAGACAGACTGGCAGGTATCTTTCTAGAGGTTGCCCTGGACAAATGTCTCCTTCCCCAGGGAAGGCTGGTTTTCAAAAAGGCCACAGGAGACAGTACAAACATTCTGCCAGTGGTCAGTTATGGGCACAAGGCAGGAAACTGACTTTGAGCCTGCAGAGACTGAACGCTTACAACGGTGCTGATGAAAAGCAGCAGGTATAGCCCTGTGGGTCTGCTCAGGTGCAAGACCCTCCCACGTTCCATTCTGTTTGGTTATTTGTATAAATCAATCAGGAACTTCCCTCCACCCATCCAATCCGGTTACTGCCTTTCAGCCACCAGATGCAGCTGTGCGGATAATAAGTTTTCTTCACTGCTGCTTCTCTGATGGGATCATTTTATCCGCGCTGCTCAAGTGTCTTTGCTTTCGTGTAAATGAATGTAGTTTGAGCACGAGGGGCTCATGATTTCTCCTCGCGACAGTGAGCTGCAGATGCACAGCAGTAAGGTCTCGTGCTGGTTTGGGGTGGTGAGAGCCTCTATCTGTTCAGGCGTGGGAAGGAAGGGCGGGGGGCGGGGGCATCAGATGGCAACCCTCAAAGGCAGCTCATCATGTAACTGGATCAGGCCACAGCAATCAAAGCAGGTGCCACAGGCTGTAAGCAGACAATGGCCCAAGGGAATAAAACCTCCACGTGGAAGCGGGGGCCATTGGCACATTGCCAAGTTTCCCTCTTTCAGGCTTCAGCCCTTCAAACCAAAGTTTTGCTTCTGATCCTCAGAGCAGGATGAAGAACCTGGACAAAGGACTTCAGCTCAGAGGCCCGAGGCCCAAAGACATCATGCGTTGCCACCTTGGATGGCCAGAGAAGACCCACAGGGAAAACCAATGATCTGCGAGGCGGGGGTCCTGCAATCTGGTCCCACCTTTTGTCATTAACTCTTGTAACGTGCCAAGGCACTTCTCCCTCGTGGGCCTCAATTTACCTATCTATAAAAGCGAAAGAATAACCTCTGTCACTTACTTGAAAGCTTCTGTGGGAGAGTCATGTTTATGACAGGGCTTGGAAGAGAAGAAAATGGAGGTAATGCATACACAGAGGGCATTATTAGATGCTGATTAACCCAGAGCCTCCACAAATCATTAACCTTCGTTCCACGGAGCCTGCTCTATCCCAGGTGTGAAGTACTTCCAGCGAGGGTGGGGTGGGGGTGGGGCTAGGGCTGGGGCTGGGATCTCTCTGAAAACAAGTATGAGCCACCAATGCTCCTAGACTCACAATCCAGCCGCCTCCGTCGGTGTTCATGTCACAGTACACCTGCAGGGGCAGGCTGCTGTCACCGTTCAGGTAGATGGTGTACAGACCACTGGCGACATTGCTGTTCTGCTGAACTTGACTGCAGTCCGAAGGGTGTGGAAAACGCACACCAACTAGGAGTCAAGCAGAGAGATGGTGTCGTTAGGAGAAGGGCAAGGAAGAAGGAGGGGGGCTATTTAAGATAATTTATTTTGTTTCGAAACTATTTCATAACCTCCTACTATGTTGCTTCTTCCAACTCTTCACTTAGATCTTATTTTTCTCATGCACCTGCTCTCATCAAACCCTTCAAATGTACTAGAAATAAGGTCAAGTTCACATCACCTCCTGCCCTAAGTCCCACAAAATAACATTCTGTTCTGCTTCCCTCTTTAGTCTTTCTACCACAAGATGGATTTCATCTGAACCTATAACCGTATTTCAATTGCCCCATTTCCAGAGAAATCCATCACTCTGTCCACTCGCTCCTCCTCGGACACCTCTTCTGAGCTCTCCGACGCTTGTCCTCTACCATGTTCTCGTTCAGCGTGCAGGAGTCCACATTACCTGTGGAAAGGGTAGTAGATACATTCCTGCTCCGGCGATCACCCTTAAAGGCGACCAAGGAGACAGGGTAGGTGATGCCCTGCTCAAGGCCTCGCAACTCAAGCCTCTCATCCCCTCTTCCAAGCTGTACCTCCTACCAAACAAAGGAGACAAGAGACAGGAGACAGTCAGTCTGTGTGTCACCCCCCCATGCCTGAGGTGTCAACAGCATTCCCTGGTGCTAGTGACAGGAGTTCTCTGAGAAGACAATGTTTGGTTTCTTTGAGGGCTTGGTGGCCCCCAGAGTCCCGGTGGGTCCCAGCAGCTTCCCTGGAGGGTGGTGCCATGGAGACTCAGCCCTGCTGGGAGCCCTCGCAGAGAGCCGGCACCAGTCCTGCCCCTGGGGGAACATCCTCCAGGTCTCCTGGTCAACTCGGCCTCTAGACGTATGCCAGGACACCAACTACAGCCACCGAGGCTGGCGACACTGAGCTGACAAGCTAATAAGGGGGAAAAAAGTGACCACTGATATCTGTGAGGTGGAGCCATAGTTGGCCTTTCAATACTTCCTTCTGAACCGATCTTATTTCCTCTATGAACGGAGGGCTAACTTCCCTTGAAGGGCTATCGTAAGCAATCATTGAGATCATGAATAAATCAAAGTGCCCTCCCTTTTCCCCTTCCTCCCTCTTTCTTGCCAAGAATTCCATCATAACAAGTTACCAAATTTGTTGGTCCTCAGATTCCAGGTGGGAGGTATAACTCTTGAAGTCAGGGTTAATCGATTCATTCAATAAATATTTACTGAGCGCCCCTCATGTGCCAGGTTCTAAGCACTTTAGATACAGTGATAGTAACACAGACAAAAAGTCCCTGTCCTCATGGGGCTAGCATAAATTGGGAAAGACAAACAATAAACACAATAACATGGGACAGATGTGTGGCCAGCGAATACACAGTGGTCAGCTAGGAACAGACATACAAGTGAGTCCTATGAAATGAGGCCACATGTAGGATGATGTCGACAAATAACCTTGCGTAGCACTTTCCTTACCACAGCAGATGATCACTAAGGATCAACTCATTTCTCAGCAGGTCACCATCATACCAGCAATCAAGCTGGTGGGCCCAAGTCAGGTGCTTCATATGGAGGGGGGGCATGGGCACCAAGAGAACAAACAAGAAGTTTCCAATACCTTAACAGTGCCATCTGGGAACGGGTAGGTGAGAATGTAGCCATCAATCTGAGCAGAGGGGGCTGTCCAGGTCAACACCCCTCCGGACTGGGTGACAGCAGATGGACGAAGGTTTCTGGGAGGGTCGATGTCTGTATATAAAGTCAAGTAATTATGATTACTAAGTATTATTGCAACCGGGGCAAGATAATTTTTGACGTGTTAACATATTTCTTCCTACTTCTCCTCCCATTTCTTTTCCTCCCTTCCAGCAAGTAGCAGTCTCTGCTCTTCCTTGACACCAGCTCCTTATGACCTCTGTTTCCAAAAGCACCCACCTACCGAGGACAAGGGGACTAAGGAAGTTGGGGGTTGAGTGGGTGGCAGACAGAGTGAATCTGTGCTCCCACACCCGCCCCCCTTCACAGATTCTCCAAGAGTGGTGGGTATAAGCAATCTAGATTAGCAGATGGGTCCTCAGGGATGGCAGGGCTCCCAAGGTGGCATGGGATGCTGAGACAGTGCAGATCTGAGAAGGCCCTATGTGCAGAAACCAGGGGCTCAGCAAACACCTACCTAGAAAGATGACCGAAGCCCTGGATGCCCATCTTCCCCTGCCCAGCAACTGGGAAATTAACCAAGACATCACATACAGCCCGGGAGAGGGAGTGTGACCCTAAATTTACTGAGATTCTGACCAAGAAGCAGAATGTGATAAACATTAAGTTGGCATAGAAATATAAAGTTCTATCTCTTACATCACGAAATATGTGGCCTTAGATGCTTACCCTGTACAGAAAGCCTGGGAAAGCAGGGGGGTGCTTGTGTGAAGGAGAGAAAGAAAGAAAGGGAAGAAGAGGTGGAGGGAAAGCAGAACATCTCCTCTGACTCTGAACACGGGGCTGTGTACATGCACACGGGAGACTAGGGAAACTCAATCTCAGCAAAAATTCCAGTCAACGCCATATTAATTGGTCAGATGGCTCATTTTTTTTAAACCAAATAAGATATTGAATGAAAATTTCCATTTTGAAAAATCATCACAGAAGATGATTTTAATTTAGAGGTTCCCAAAAAAGATGTCTCCAGGCTATTTTCTCCCCAGTAGCATTTCAGCTGAGAATGGAATTGCGATATTTTAATAGAAATCAGGCAGCTGTTGTTTTGAATTAGGATGTTTTGACAAATTTTGAGTTTCGGTAATATCAGCTTGGTCTGACTCTCTAAAGTGTAACATCTGGTACGGATTTTATTCTTTCCATCCGCTGCAAAACTGAATTTCCTGCTTTCAGAAATTAAAGCAAAAACCTTAACGATTTAAATATCTTAAGCTGGTCTCTGCTACTTCTCTGCCCACCAATCCCCTGGTTACAGGCTTGAGAGGTCTGTCTTGGTTACTGCCGCATTTCTGCGAAGCAAAAAGGTGGTAATACAGTTGTCTTTAAAAATGGCAAGAGTGAAGCAAAGAGAAGATAATGAAGGAACAGAGGAAGAAAGGAACAAGGGAGACAAACAGAGAGAGGGAGGGAACGAGGGACTGGTTGTCTCTGGAGAAACTCACTGGGCATTACGGAGTTTTTCTTTCTATATACTTTTGTTTAGTCTGAAAATTTTTACTGTAAGTATACTTTACTTTTTTTATTTAAAAACCCCACTCGGCAGGAAGCCTGATTCTCCCTCTCCCACTCCCCCTGCTTGTGATCCCTCTCTCGCTGTGTCTCTCTCCGTCAAGTAAATAAATAAAATCTTTAAAAAAGATAAAAAATAAAAACCCCTGCTATTTGTAACTGATAAAGAAATTCAAGGCACCTCTAAGTCCAGGGGCCACATACGGTGTACTGGCCACAGAGGGGACGGCCAGGCCTTCCCCAGACTGTCCACAGAGGCTCGAGGACGTCAGAGAACCCAGTGGCCTTCCCAGGTCCCAGTGAGGGAGATGGAGACAGAAGGGCTTCCTTGCCTCTCTCTTCTCCGAACTGGAGCTGAGCCCAAGCAGGTTCGAACACCCAGGCGGAGAGCCTGGGAGCTGAGCGGGTGGACGGTGAGGGAGGCTATGTTTGCACAAGCACCTGGAAGAGCCCACGGGTTTACTTTCACACTGTCTCCTCTACACTCTTCCTAAGCAGAGCAGTCATGCCTGCATAGTACCTCAGAAAGGGAAAGAGGGAACCCCTCTGAGGAATGGCCTCAGGCGAAACAGCTGCCCTCCCTGCCCCCCTGTGCACCCCCAGGTATGGAGGAAGATTGTCCTGATGGATGTACATGATTCCTTGTCCCAGGCCCTCACAGTACCTGTCAGGGCCTTGGTGTCGGCCTTCTTGCTCTCCCGGGCCCCCTTCTGGGCCCACACCTGGACTGTGTACTCCACACCTGGCCTCAGGCCCGTCAGGATGGCGCTGCTCTGCTCCTTCCCCACGGACACCTCCCTGGTGTCCCCATCAGCAGAGGTGTAGCGCACCATGTACTTGTCGATGACAGCTTGCACCGGGTCCCACGAGATGGTGGCCGTGTCCTCTGTCACCCGGTCGGTCACCAGGTTTTGGGGGCTGTCAATTTCTTTTTAAAAAAAATTTGGAAAAGCCTAAGCTTTGAAGCCGTGGAGAGATACCCACCACCCCATCACTGTCATTTTCATCTTCTAGGACTCTCTCTGCACAAGGCAATGGTCTTCCCATCCAGAGTCTGCTGGGAATCAAGGGAGAAAGTGACCCCTGGCTCCCAATTTCAAAAGACTACTCATTGCAAACTTAACATATTTTCTTGGCTTTTAGCTCTCTGGAATGTGGGAGAAATGACATCTTCTTAGCAACACTATGGCACATCAAAACAATCATTAAACACCTGCCACGATGTTCAGGGTACCCAATTTATCGTTTTCTCAAGGGCTACTTCAGGGGCAATCATTCTGAAAGCGTTATCACCAGCATTGCAATGGTCAGGGCCTATAACATCTTCACTGAGTCTGCTGAAAACATGGCCACTGCACAACTTTACTTCTCCCTTTTAGTGGGTTGAGTGGTTTCGTGAGCAGCTCATCACTATCAGGCAGAGTGATGGCTACCAGCTATGAGCCCACTGAGATCACTACTAGAACTCACTGTCTTTTTTGATCTTTAGGACTTTCTTTACAAAGTCTCTCATCCCAGACCACATCCTTGGGACCATGCACACTCAAATCCACATGTTCAAAATTCAATTCCGATTGACCATCTTTCTCTTGTTACCTGTTGGGGCCTTGGTGTCGGCCTTCTTGCTCTCCCGGGCCCCCTTCTGGGCCCACACCTGGACCGTGTACTCCACGCCTGGCCTCAGGCCCGTCAGGATGGCGCTGCTCTGCTCCTTCCCCACGGACACCTCCCTGGTGTCCCCATCAGCAGAGGTGTAGCGCACCATGTACCTGTCGATGACAGCTTGCACCGGGTCCCAAGAGATGGTGGCCGTGTCCTCTGTCACCCGGTTGGTCACCAGGTTTTGGGGGCTGTCAATTTCTTTTTAAAAAGGAAAGGCCAAATTTTAGAGCTAAGGGAGGCCATCCCACCACCCCACCACCAGAAGCCTTCCCTTCAAGTTATCTTTAATAATGATATAATTCCGTTGAACACAAGAGTGAAAGGTCCCTGGTTTCCATTTTCCAGGGAAACAAACCACTGGATATTACAACTGGGAGGAATTAGATCTTCTGCAAGCTCATCAATATGGAAAATTTCTGTCTCTCTAGTTTCCACAGAAGTAACAAAAAAAAGTCTCCTGAGCAACAAGATAAGCCGCCCCACTGGCTGTTGAAATGACCTCTTCATTATCTCTGTGGTATCTGGTTATTTTGTTCACAGAATCTCAGAGCTGAGAAGTCAGATCTTCCAACCTTCTAGTCTTTTATCAAAGGGGAGCATGGAGGCCCAGAAAAATGAAAAGTCTTGCCCAAGATCCTGCCGTTTTCTTGTGTTAAAACCCAGACGGGCCCCTCTTTGCTCTGAGTTGTGAAGTCTCCCACCTTCTAAAGGACTTGTCTCCTTTTCGTCTGTGCTCTCTCTGACACCCCTGGTCTCTCCTTCTCTACCGTCATTGTTCCCAGACTACAAGCTCTAGGACCTCCTGCCTCTCTGCACCCCTTAGCTGACAGACTTCTCAAGAGAACAGGGTTCACCTTCACTTCACTCCTCCCCTCCCATTCACTCCTCGATTCAATGAAGTTTGGCACTTTTCCATTAATTAGCATGCCACTAAAACCACTAGGATACGGCACCCCCAACTTCGCCAAATCCGATAGACACTAGCCATCCTCACCTTACTGGACTTTTGAGCAGCATTTGGCAGAGCTGATCCGCTCCCTCTGTCTTAAAACAATCTCAGCTCTTAACTTCCATGACCACACCCTCCCCTGGTTTTTTCCTAATGGCCTGACCCTTCCTCAGTCTCCTCTGTCAGCAACCTGGAAATGTTGGGGCACCGGAGGCTCCCCCTTTTCCTCTCTCTATGCTCCTCCCTTAGTGACCTCATCCATGTCCATGGCTTTGAATACCAACCAATGCTCTCTGCTCCCCAACAGGTGTGAGCCCCCCTGCTTGCACCTACAGCCGCATATCTACCACGGCGCCTCGCATGCACTTGACACTCGACCTATATTTGTGGAATCAGTAAGTTAATCACTCAATCAACCAAGGAATCTCACAAGGTTCTCCAGTTTAAATGTCTAAAAGTCTTCACCTTCCTCCCTGAGGCTGTTTATCTCTCAGTCTCCCCTCTCAGACAATGCTGCCCCAACCTTCCACGTTGCTCCCCCCCTTTCCCAATGGCCGTCGCCCCCTCTCTCCCGGATTTTACACTAGACTCTTCACTAACCCTCCGAATGCTACTCCTGTCATGTCCTCCGTGGATCCTTCTCACTGTGTCCTGAACTACCTTTTTTAAACAAACACCACATCACGTTGCTCTTCTGATAAATGTAACATGCTCCCTCTTGCAGGCGCCGTGTGGCCCTGTGTGAGTGACCCTGCCTCCTTCCCACCTCACCCCACGCCACTTCCCTCTCTCCCCCTCTGTGCTCCAGCCACACCAGGCCCCCTCACAGTTCGGCAACCATCTTAGCTGTGCCATCTGAGGGCCATCATGCATACCCTTCCCTCTGCCACAAATGGCGAGTTTTCCCCACCAACCATTCTCCCCTTCTTCCATGAGCATATTGTCCAATGGATCTCTCTGTAATGATGCTAACATTCTACAGTGTCCAATACAGTAGTCACTAACCAATGTGGCTGTTGACCGCTTGAAATGCACAACTTTGAAAATCATTTAATTACTTCTAATTAGTTAACATTTAAGGAGTCCCATGCAGCCAGTGGCCACTCTGTTGGATGGGACAGTAGATCAGAAGTGTTGGCTGGGCATGTGATCATCCAGCTGAAGACTTCATTGCCCAGCCTTTCCTGCCGTGAGGTCTGGCACTGTGTCTTGGATCTAGCCAGTGGAACGGGAGAAGTGAAGAACGTGTGCAATGTTCCAGCCCTGCCCTGCCCTTTGCACTGCTGGAATGAGGGTGGAGGATGACTATAGAGATGGAGGCAACTCCCTAGGGATGACTGAACAACAATACAGAAGGAGCCTGGCTCTCCTGTGCCATGGAATGACCGTACCAGCCTGGCCCACCTACCCTCTGACCATCCCACAAGACAAGAATAAACTTTCTTGTGTAAGCAAGTGCTATGTGGATGTTTCTGTCAATGTGGATCTTAACTATTACTCATCCTATCCCTTCTAAGAAACATCCCTACCCTGTTATTCTTTATACCTGCACCATGTTCATCTCCTTCATAGAACTGACCATAGTTTACAGTTATAATTTGTTTGCTCGTTGATTGTCTATCTTTCCCACCGGACTTTAAGAGAGCAGGAATCATATTTGTTTTTGCCACTGTATCCCAGGCCTGGCCTTTAGAAGATGCTCATCAAAACTTAACTGTGTGTTGAAATGAACACAGAGCTGCAACCTGCCAAGGTAACACTTGCTTCTTTAAACTACACACCACTTATTAAGTTAAACCTACGTAAAACACCCTGTCACAAAACAGTTCCCTAACCCACGGTTTTTCACTGAGAGGCAGAGCGGTTAAAACCGCACAGGCTTGGGGAAAGGGTTTTAAGACCGTCACAGGACTGCTCAGTACTGAGTCCATGACTACACTTTGATTTTTCTTTAAGTAAATCAAGTTTTTTACAGCAAACTTTCCTAACACAGTCCCTGGTCACAGACCCCAAAAGCAGCAGTGGTATAATTCAGCAACAGGTCAGCCCACAGTGATGACCTGAGTTTCTTTTCTCCTCCCTCCTGTTACCTGTTGGGGCCTTGGTGTCGGCCTTCTTGCTCTCCCGGGCCCCCTTTTGGGCCCATACCTGGACCGTGTACTCCACACCTGGCCTCAGGCCCGTCAGGATGGCGCTGCTCTGCTCCTTCCCCACGGACACCTCCCTGGTGTCCCCATCAGCAGAGGTGTAGCGCACCATGTACTTGTCGATGACAGCTTGCACCAGGTCCCACGAGATGGTGGCCGTGTCCTCTGTCACCCGGTCAGTCACCAGGTTTTGGGGGCTGTCAATTTCTTTTTAAAAAAAATTTGGAAAAGCCTAAGCTTTAAAGCCGTGGAGAGATACCCACCACCCCCATCACTGTCATTTTCATCTTCTAGGACTCTCTCTGCACAAGGCAATGGTCTTCCCATCCAGAGTCTGCTGGGAATCAAGGGAGAAAGTGACCCCTGGCTCCCAATTTCAAAAGACTACTCATTGCAAACTTAACATATTTTCTTGGCTTTCAGCTCTCTGGAATGTGGGAGAAATGACATCTTCTTAGCAACACTATGGCACATCAAAACAATCATTAAACACCTGCCACGATGTTCAGGGTACCCAATTTATCGTTTTCTCAAGGGCTACTTCAGGGGCAATCATTCTGAAAGCATTATCACCAGCATTGCAATGGTCAGGGCCTATAACATCTTTGCTGAGTCTGCTGAAAACATGGCCACTGCACAACTTTACTTCTCCCTTCTAATGGGTTGAGTGGTTTCGTGAGCAGCTCATCACTATCAGGCAGAGTGATGGCTACCAGCTATGAGCCCACTGAGATCACTACTAGAACTCACTGTCTTTTTTGATCTTTAGGACTTTCTTTACAAAGTCTCTCATCCCAGACCACATCTTTGGGACCATGCACACTCAAATCCACATGTTCAAAATTCAATTCCGATTGACCATCTTTCTCTTGTTACCTGTTGGGGCCTTGGTGTCGGCCTTCTTGCTCTCCCGGGCCCCCTTCTGGGCCCACACCTGGACCGTGTACTCCACGCCTGGCCTCAGGCCCGTCAGGACGGTGCTGTTCTGCTGCTTCCCCACAGATACCTCCCTGGTGTCCCCATCAGCAGAGGTGTAGCGCACCATGTACCTGTCGATGACAGCTTGCACCGGGTCCCACGAGATGGTGGCCGTGTCCTCTGTCACCTGGTCGGTCACCAGGTTTTTGGGGCTGTCAATATCTAGGAGGAAAAGTACTGCTCAACATACACTATTTATAGGCCTCAGAGTACAGAATCTCAGGGTCATTTTGCTTGGGGTGAGATCCTTTCATGTTTCGTGGTTCCTCCCTCACCTATGCTCTAACTGCTTCATTGAGATGCATCTTCTCTCCCCAGACAGACTTTGACTCCCCAAGAAGAAAGCACAGTAGACCAAAAGCTACAAATCTACACTATTACCTCCACTAAGAGTTTAATAAAACAAATCTCATTCTTTACTTAGTAAGCGAATGTCAAACTCCCACTAGGTACAAGGCATGGTGTTAGGTAGCACGCGGGGCCCAGTTGAAGACACAGCCCATGCTCACAAGCAGTAATAATTTTGTTTCTAGCATCATGTCAACAAAGACCTCTGATTACATGCAAGATGATTCTAATAGCCAGATGCAGATGTCAGCTCCTAGAGGCAGAGGGCTACCTCCTAACCCTCCAGGGTTCCCACAGCCTCGTAGAGAACAGAGCACATGGTAAATGCTGAACATACCTTGTTAAATGAATCAGCCAATTAAAAACCAGTTTTAACAAATAATACAGTATATGTTAAAAAAAAAAAAAAAGAAGATAGTAGGAAGGGAAAAATGAAGGGGGGGAATCAGAGAGGGAGACGAACCATGAGAGACTATGGACTCTGAGAAACAAACTGAGGGTTCTAGAGGGGAGGGAGTGGGGGGATGGGCTAGCCTGGTGATGGATATTAAAGAGTGCACGTATTGAATGGAGCACTGGGTGTTATACGCAAACAATGAATCATGGAACACTACATCAAAAACTAATGTTGTAATGTATGGTGATTAATGTAACATAACAAAATAAAATTTTTTAAAAATACAGTTTTAGTATGCTTTACATACTGTAGATGCACTTATAATGCTGGTTAGCTGGTTAAATCACTAGAGAAATATGGCCATACAGCTCTTTCACAATCAAACTAGAATAGAACATAAAAGTTATCCTTATCCTTAAAACCAGAATTACCATGATTCATACATGCTAAAGCACACCACATATATCTACTTGCTCTGGAGATGTAAAGTCTATTTTTCAAAGCTGAATTTTCAACATGTTATTATTAACAACATTTGATTTTCATTTTCTGTTCCCACTCAAAACACAATGAGAGACCCTTAATACTGTCCACAATGAAATATTCATGCACTCAGAGAAGGAGTCGCTGGGCATAACCATGCAATCATGGCAAAATTGTAGCTTGGAACTGCCACTTGGACCTGATTTGTAAGGAAATGAGCTAAAGGGAGGTGAGGGACAGTGTGTGCAGTCTCTTATGAAGGGACACTATCATGCTCCTCCAGAGCTCATCTAGTCTGCCAGTGTCAGAGCAAGAAAACAAACTGGACCAGCCATAGGCTTAGGTTTACATTCTCAAAGAACAATGCTCCCTTACCTGTCGGGGACTTGGTGTCAGCTTTCTTGCTCTCCCGGGCCCCCTTCTGGGCCCACACCTGGACCGTGTACTCCACGCCTGGCCTCAGGCCCGTCAGGATGGCGCTGCTCTGCTCCTTCCCCACGGACACCTCCCTGGTGTCCCCATCGGCAGAGGTGTAGTGCACCATGTACTTGTCGATGACAGCTTGCACCGGGTCCCAGGAGATGGTGGCCGTGTCCTCTGTCACCTGGTCGGTCACCAGGTTTTGGGGGCTGTCAATTTCTTTAAAAAAAAAATTTTGGAAAAGCCTAAGCTTTGAAGCCGTGGAGAGATACCCACCACCCCATCACTGTCATTTTCATCTTCTAGGACTCTCTCTGCACAAGGCAATGGTCTTCCCATCCAGAGTCTGCTGGGAATCAAGGGAGAAAGTGACCCCTGGCTCCCAATTTCAAAAGACTACTCATTGCAAACTTAACATATTTTCTTGGCTTTTAGCTCTCTGGAATGTGGGAGAAATGACATCTTCTTAGCAACACTATGGCACATCAAAACAATCATTAAACACCTGCCACGATGTTCAGGGTACCCAATTTATCGTTTTCTCAAGGGCTACTTCAGGGGCAATCATTCTGAAAGCATTATCACCAGCATTGCAATGGTCAGGGCCTATAACATCTTTGCTGAGTCTGCTGAAAACATGGCCACTGCACAACTTTACTTCTCCCTTCTAGTGGGTTGAGTGGTTTCGTGAACAGCTCATTACTACAGGCAGAGTGATGGCTACCAGCTATGAGCCCACTGAGATCACTACTAGAACTCACTGTCTTTTTTGATCTTTAGGACTTTCTTTACAAAGTCTCTCATCCCAGACCACATCTTTGGGACCATGCACACTCAAATCCACATGTTCAAAATTCAATTCCGATTGACCATCTTTCTCTTGTTACCTGTTGGGGCCTTGGTGTCGGCCTTCTTGCTCTCCCGGGCCCCCTTCTGGGCCCACACCTGGACCGTGTACTCCACACCTGGCCTCAGGCCCATCAGGATGGCGCTGCTCTGCTCCTTCCCCACAGGAACCTCCCTGGTGTCTCCATCAGCAGAGGTATAGCGTACTATGTACTTGTCGATAACAGCCTGCACAGGATTCCAGGAAATGGTGGCTGTGTCCTCTGTCACCCAGTCAGTCACCAGATTTGTTGGGCTGTCAATGTCTGAAAGGAAAGTTAAAGTGCACTATTAACAAGCACTAAAGAGTTAGACCATGTTGCTTAGAGGGAGGCAGTTTCTTGTTCTTATGTTTTTCCCATCTCTTATGTCAGTTTTCAGTTGTTTCATGGACGTAGACCTTCTCTCCATGGTTGGACGCTTGGATCCTCAAGGAGGCAGCACAGGACAGTAGAATGAGTGCTAGATCCAGAGTCAGAAGAGCGAGGTTCTGTTCCAGCCCAGAGATGCAGAGCAGACGGGCAGGAAAAGCCCAGAGCAGAGCCACAGACCAGGGATCTAGGCCCAGCTCTGTCATCAGCCAGCTGTGGCCCTGGACAGCTAGCTCTGCTGCCTCTAGCTGAGCCTCAGTTCTTTCTTTGTACAATGTGGGCCTTGCTATCTAAATAGGTACCATAATATTCCATGAATATTCCACAAATCTGACTCCATGAATCATCAGCTAATTTCATGACTTATAAAAATTATTCACTTCTCTGTGTATGAGATTTCTGAACTATAAAATGGGGATATTGATCCCCGAGCTAGTCATCTCACCAAATGCCTCTGAGGACCAAGTAAATGAGGAATACAACCCTCATTTGTTGCTGGTGGGTATATAAAATAATGCCACCACTCTGGAAACAATTTAGCCATTCCTAAAAAGGTTAAACATAGAGTTACCATGTGACCCAGCAATTCCACTCCTAGGTATAAACCGCAAAGAACTGAAAACACGTCCACACAAAAATCTGTACACAAATGCTCATAGTATCCCTATTCACAATAGCCAAAAAGTGGAAACAACCCAAAAAGCTCATCAGGGACAAATGGATAAACACAATGTGTTACATCCATACAAAGGAATATTACTTGGCAAGAAAATAAAGTACTGACACATGCTACAACATGGATGAACCTTGGAAATATTATGTGTAGTGAATAAAGCCAGTAATGAAAGGCCATAGGTTGTATGGATACATTTATATGAAACATCCAAAATAAGGAACTCTATATATAGAGACAGAAAGTAGTAGTTTCCTAAGGCTGGGGGAAGTTAGGATGGGGAGGGACTGCTAATGGGCAAGGAGTTTCTTTTCAGAGTAATGAAAATCTTCTGAATTAGATACTAGTGATATACTAGTGATAGTTGCATAACTGTAAATATACTAAAAACCACTGAATTATATGCTTTAAAAGACTACATTTTATGGAAAATAAATTATATCTCAATAAATCTGTTCTTTAAAAAATGAGAAGGGGCACCTGGGTGGCTCAGTTGGTTAAGTGTCCAACTCTTGATTTTGGCTCAGATCCTTATCTCAGTCTTGTGAGATGGAGCCCCGCATCAGGCTCCGTGCTAAGCGTGGAGTCTACTTGAGATTCTCTCCCTCTCCCTCTGTCCCTCCCCACCACCTCCCTCTCTAAAATAAATAAAATCTTTTTTAAAAATGAGTAAAGTGAGATGAAAGAGCTTTAAAAATTATAAACTAATACAGTATGTAAGTGCAACCTTAGGATTTTCAGAATGGAGCACACAGTGCTCCTGAGAGGATTTATCCACTAACAAAACAATAACCCTTCCTTGTCCCAAAGAGATCAGAGCAAAAACCATTTCCCTAAAGTACTAGGCTCACAGATCCTAACATATATGGTTTCTTCCTATCTTTTCCTTTTCAAAAAGAAATATTTCAATGATTGAACACAAATCAGAGGAATGGTGAGTAGATGGGACCAATCACCATTTATCTTTCTGAGACCAAAGTATGAGGCCAAGGGTGAGCTCCTTAGTTTAAGATCATGTGTAAAAGGGAGATGAAGGATGGTGTGTGCAGTCTCTTTTGAAGAGACACCATCCTGCCCTTTCATAGATCATCTAGTCTGACAGTGTCAAAGCAAGAAAACAAAACTGGACTAGCCATAGACTTAGGTTTTACATTCTCAAAGAACAATGCTCCATTACCTGTCGGGGCCTTAGTGTCAGCCTTCTTGCTCTCCCGGGCCCCCTTCTGGGCCCACACCTGGACTGTGTACTCCACACCTGGCCTCAGGCCTGTCAGGACGGTGCTGTTCTGCTGCTTCCCCATGGACACCTCCCTGGTGTCCCCATCAGCAGAGGTGTAGCGCACCATGTACTTGTCGATAACAGCTTGCACCAGGTCCCACGAGATGGTGGCCGTGTTCTCTGTCACCCGGTCAGTCACCAAATTTGATGGGCTGTCAATGTCTGAAAGGAAAGTTAAAGTGCACTATTAACAAGCACCAAAGAGTTAGGCCATGCTGCTTGGAGGGAAGGAGTTTCCTGTTCTTATGTTTTTCCCATCTCTTATGTCAGTTTTCAGTTGTTTCATGGACGTAGACCTTCTCTCCATGGTTGGACTCTTGGATCCTCAAGGAGGCAGCACAGGACAGTAGAACGAGCGCTAGATCCAGAGTCAGAAAATCTATGGCCCTGCACATCTCAGCTGCCTCTGGCTGGGCCTCAGCCTTATCATCTATAAACCTGGGGTTTAGGTTGGACAGACTTTAAAGTTCCTTTGAGTGCCAATGTTCCATACACACATCTAATTTCATAAATTACTAATATGTTTCATGACCTTGGGTAAGTCACCTCACTTCTCTACATTTATAAAATAGGTTTAATAGCTATTGTACATACCTTGCTGGGTGGCTCTGAAAACCAAGACAAAAAATATCATGTAAAAAGGGGCCTTGAAAATACTGAATATTAGTGTCTATAGAAAAAAAAAGGCAGAGCAAGATAATATTAGTGTATATCCTGGATACTCGCCTTATTAAATGACTTAATAATAATATGCCCCTTATGACAATTCTTGGCACAGACTAGATGCCCAATGACCATAAGCTATTATTAATGATATCACCTTGTTGATATTTTGTGAATGAAGAAAATTATGCTCCTCCATACTATGCACGCAGAAGGTATTCAAAAATGGAGTCACCAAGAAAATAATAGCATGTCTTTGTTCCAAATAGTTCATTGCAAAAGTCATTCCCCTAAAGTCCTTGCTTCTAGATTCTGTCACAGATGTGCAATGGTATGATCAAGCAGGACTCTCTTACCCTGGTTTGGGCTGTGACCCCAAGAAAACTGGTATCTACATTCCAACCTGAAAGCCCACAGCCAAGGCAGGACCAACAGTCTTATGACCCTTGGCTGACTACCATCTACAGACTATGAAAGAGGTTGGAGGGACACCTGTGTGGCTCAGTTGGTTAAGCATCTGCCTTTGGCTCAGGTCATGATCCCAAGGTCCTGGGATGGAATCCCGAATCGGGATCCTTGCTTAGCGGGGAGCCTGCTTCTCCCTCTGCCTTCTACTCCCCCTGCTTGTGCTCGCTCTCCCTCTCTCTCTGGGAAATAAATAAATAAAATCTTAAAAAAAAAAAAAAAAAAGGTTCGAGAGGCCAAAGAGATGGTACTTCAAGAATGGATTTCTTTGGGCAGAACTACACTGTGAGCTTCATGGGTGAGATCCTAACCTCAAATAAGCACTTGCAATGGGATCCCTTACAGAGCTAGTTATGCATACCCTGGAGCAAGTGTTCTCAACCAGGATTGGCAAGGTCTTGAGACCAACGTGGTTGTCACAATTCAGTGTAAGATGGGGAGGCTCCTGGTGTCTAATGGGTAGAGGCCAGGAATCCTGTTAAACAGCCTATGGTACATAAGACCGACCCTGGCAATAAAGAATTATCCAGCCAAAAATTTCAATAGTGTCAAGGTTGAGAAACTCTGCCCATGGCTTGGGGAACACTGTGGGCTGGTGTCTGAAATGGGCCTAAAATACCTAAGAGGCGAGAAAACAGCTGATTGCTCTGATGCAGAATGATCAGAGGCTGCAGCATGGCAAAAGGACCATATATCTGGTTGAATGGACAAAGGGTGCATGCTCTTCCCCGTGGACCCAAGGAAAGGAAGGAAAGGCCCACTTGGGATGGTTTTAGAAGCTGTCCAAGAGGCTCACCCAGATAGAGGAGGTGACCCCAACCAGAAAGGCACTGGAGTGCACCCACATGTGCAGATGGAAGAAAGGGAGCGGGTGACCAGCAGGAGAGATGCATCTGCCAACAGGATCACTATGATGAAAGATTGGAGTGTAGGAAGGTGGCTTAAGAACATGCAGAAGTGCTCCATGAGGGAAAATGTTAGCTTTAAACAGGCCCGGGGCAGCTGTGACTGTTACCATCAAGTAAGATTCCTTATTTCTCCTCCTCCTGACGCCCTGCCCTCTCTCCAAGCTGTGCCAAACATACATGCATCAGAAATCCCAGTTAGCGTGCTAGAAGGAGGGGGTCTGAAGTACTAGGAGGGAAATACAAGAGAAGCTGAGCACGTCTCCTTCCCAGGGCAGGCAGTTAGCCTGCCAACGGCCCAAGTGGATGGTGGGGAGAAGCTTTAAATTTAAATGAAGTATGGATAATTACTAAAATGATACATGTTGGGGAATAAAAGTGATCAGTTATTTGCTTATTTTTAGCTAATAAAACATTTTATTATTTCTGCCTAAAACAGTCATCCAAAGGGTGGAAAGAAAGAACAAGCTCCACAGAAAGGGTTTGAACAAGTAAGGAGGGAAAACAAAGCAGGTTTGGGATCACAGTCAGGCTCCCTCCACAGGATGGGCTCTTGGGCTTTCAATCACATTTATTCCTTATCAGGGGAAGCATTTAGTAGTTTAACAACACAGAAGATGCACAAACAGACAACAAAGAACTGCGAGTAATAATATCAATCTTTAAAGACCAAAGTTTGAAGACAAGACAAACTACGCATTCTAAGAGAAGCCATGAAGTCAAAGTAAGGGGTACACAGTGGACTCTGCAAGGACACCAACCTGCAGTTCTAGAAAACCTCCCTTTCTGCCAAGGTCACAGAAGGAAAACCAACTGAAACAGACCATGAGTTCAGGAGTGACACAGTGATGACGCATGCTCCCTTACCTGTCGGGGCCTTGGTGTCGGCCTTCTTGCTCTCCCGGGCCCCCTTCTGGGCCCACACCTGGACTGTGTACTCCACACCTGGCCTCAGGCCCGTCAGGATGGCGCTGCTCTGCTCCTTCCCCACAGACACTTCCCTGGTGTCCCCATCAGCAGAGGTGTAGCGCACCATGTACTTGTCGATGACAGCTTGCACCGGGTCCCACGAGATGGTGGCCGTGTCCTCTGTCACCTGGTCGGTCACCAGGTTTTTGGGGCTGTCAATTTCTTTAAAAAAAAAAAATTTGGAAAAGCCTAAGCTTTGAAGCCGTGGAGAGATACCCACCACCCCATCACTGTCATTTTCATCTTCTAGGACTCTCTCTGCACAAGGCAATGGTCTTCCCATCCAGAGTCTGCTGGGAATCAAGGGAGAAAGTGACCCCTGGCTCCCAATTTCAAAAGACTACTCATTGCAAACTTAACATATTTTCTTGGCTTTGAGCTCTCTGGAATGTGGGAGAAATGACATCTTCTTAGCAACACTATGGCACATCAAAACAATCATTAAACACCTGCCACGATGTTCAGGGTACCCAATTTATCATTTTCTCAAGGGCTACTTCAGGGGCAATCATTCTAAAAGCGTTATCACCAGCATTGCAATGGTCAGGGCCTATAACATCTTTGCTGAGTCTGCTGAAAACATGGCCACTGCACAACTTTACTTCTCCCTTCTAGTGGGTTGAGTGGTTTTGTGAGCAGCTCATCACTATCAGGCAGAGTGATGGCTACCAGCTATGAGCCCACTGAGATCACTACTAGAACTCACTGTCTTTTTTGATCTTTAGGACTTTCTTTACAAAGTCTCTCATCCCAGACCACATCTTTGGGACCATGCACACTCAAACCCACATGTTCAAAATTCAATTCCGATTGACCATCTTTCTCTTGTTACCTGTTGGGGCCTTGGTGTCGGCCTTCTTGCTCTCCCGGGCCCCCTTCTGGGCCCACACCTGGACCGTGTACTCCACGCCTGGCCTCAGGCCCGTCAGGACGGTGCTGTTCTGCTGCTTCCCCACAGATACCTCCCTGGTGTCCCCATCAGCAGAGGTGTAGCGCACCATGTACTTGTCGATGACAGCTTGCACCAGGTCCCAGGAGACGGTGGCCGTGTCCTCTGTCACCCGGTCGGTGGCCAGGTTTGTTGGGCTGTCAATTTCTTTAAGAGAGATGAAAGAATGTAGCATTTACTAACTCTCTAGTTCCTGAAAGGCCAGCACATACACAGACAAAATGATGATCTTGACAAATTTCAGAGTCTGTTCTATGCCAGGGATTGGGATAACTTAAGGGTTTAATTAAGCAAGTGGTCTGAAATTCCAAGAATGAGCTAACAGCATTTAATGAGATGTAGGGTTTTCAGACAAGCGAAAATAGTCTCAGCTCTATAAACTTTACCCAAAAGTAGTCTTTGGATTTGGTTTTCATACGCAAATTTCTCCTTTACCCTGTATTTATACAATATACTCTTTCAGTTCCTGTCTCCTTGTCCTGAAAGCAATTATACTTCAATAAATCTCTGCATCAGCTCTAATATTTTCTTTGGGAAGAAAAATATCCTGGAAGTAGGGAGCTGTCAGTTCTTTCCACATAAAACATTATGTCTGCGGCCAGAGAACCAGAAGACTTAAATTGATGGTACTTGAGGTCTGGGCAGATAAAAATAATCCGCCTTGCATAATCTGTCTGAGTTTCTATGCAGTTAAATTGGGTTGGAATCTGGGTTCCACTGTCTCCTAGTTGCTAACTTGGGCAGACTGTAAACCTTAACTCTAGGTCCCCTCACCTCCAGGAAGGAGGAAAGAGTGGTACCTACCTCACAGGTTAGGGCAAATCACAAGTGAGATATTCATATGGTAAATGCTTAAATATAAGCTCTTTGTTATCACAAGTGCCATTTGAGGCATGAAATACCCCTTTCTCCTTAAAATGTGAACCCCTCGAGTCGGAAATCCAAGTAGTGGTGGTGCATGACTAATATGCCTTTATATTCCTGTTTCAAAAACCAAGTCCTCAAACGTCTGAGCTTTCTGTGACAGCAACTGCATTTCCAACCTAGGCACCACTGCCGGACATCACAGCCAGGCCAGGTGGGCGGAACACGCACCCAAGGGAGACAGCTCGCCTAGGGGAGCACAGAGTTCCGAAAGCACTAGGGACAGGGGACATAGAAGGAGGAGTTTTGCTCTGGGATTCTCATCCCTCACTACTCCATTCTCACAGACCTGGCCACCATCAACACCACTTAAGATTATTAAGATAATTGCATATTAAGATAAGACAGAAAAAAACCCCTGTCCTATTCTTATACCCCACGCCTTTGCATATGCTGCTCCCACAGCTAATGCCCACCCAAGGGTCTAGACTCTGCTCCGTTGTCACCTCCTCCTACAGCCTGCCATGACCCCCTCTCCCATCCCAGTCTGTGCTAAGTACCCTTTTTTCTGGTTCCCACAGTTTCCAGGGACATTTGTTGACTCTAAAAATAACATAACTCACTGCACTTTATCTTTTTTCCTTGTCTTCTCTACCCACACGGGTGTGAATGCCATGAGCACGGACTATGTCTTCCATCTCTGTACCCCCAGGGCCTAGCTCTGTGCCTGACAGCACCAGCAATGCCACATCCCAGTGGCCCCCAGTAATTCTGGGGTGCTAACTCACACCACCCCTACCTGGCAGAGGGGAAGATTCTTCTCTATTCCAACCTCTACCATCTTAAAAAGACTGACCCACGTGCTTCCTTTTCACAACACTCAAAATCCTACTAAACAGAAAGCCTTGTGTAATATAAACCAGGAGGTGGCAACCTACAGCCCATGGGCCAAATCTGACCTGCTGCCTTCTTTTATAAAGTTTTATTGAACACAGTCCTACCGGTTCATTTACATATTTTTTTTTTAAAGATTTTATTTATTTATTTGACAGAGACACAGCGAGAGAGGGAACACAAGCAGGGGGAGTGTGAGAGGGAGAAGCAGGCTTCCAGCCGAGCAGGGAGCCCCATGCGGGGCTCGATCCCAGGACCATGACCTGAGCCGAAGGCAGACGGTTAACGACTGAGCCACCCAGGCGCCCCGGTTCATTTACATATTATCTGTGGCTGTTTTCACATATCAATGGCAGACCTGAATAGTTGCAACACAGACTACATGGCTGGAAAACTGAAAATATGCACTCTCTGGCCCCTCACAGAAAGTGCTGACCCTGCCTTTAAACCAATCTAGATCTCACCATCCTTACTGGTAGCTTCTCCTTCCCCTGGAGGAGATAAGGCCCACCCTGACCCAGGAAGCTCCATGCTGTGAAATTCATCAAGGGCTGAATGCGGATTAACATTTGCTATTGACTGAATGTTTGTGTGTCCCACCCCCCACCCCCCAACTCCTATGTTGGAGCCCTAACTCCCAATTTGATGGTATTTGGAGGTGAGACCTTTGGGAGATAATTAGGTTTGATGAGGTCATGAGGGTAGGTCTCCATGATGGCATCCATGCCACATAAGGGTGTAGGAAGAAGGTGGCCACCTAAAAGCCAGGAAGAGGGCTCTCACCAGGAACCAAATAGCCAGCGCCCAGATCGTGGGGCTTTCCAGCCTCCAGAATTGTGAGAACTAAATTTCTTTTGTTGAAGGCCCCTAGTCTATGGTATTCTGTTAGAGCAGCCCAAGCTGCCTGAGACACCTTGTAAGAAATAATCACGACTGTCACCTACATAGTGCTTGGCTATGTGTCAGGCGCTTCCATGAATTAACTCATGTAACCCTCCCAATAACCCTATGAATCAAATACTCATATAACCTCTTTTATAGACTGAGGAACAGAGGCGAAGTGACTTACCCAAAGCCACTCCGCTAGTAAACGGCCGAGCTGGGATTAAAACGTGGACAGTCAAGCTTCTGAAACCACATTCCTAACTAATTATCAGCTTCTCTGAGTGTCTCTATACTAACTGACTGTCCAGAACAGAGACCAATCTATAAGTGAATCCTTTTCTATGATTTCCTGTCAAGTGTCTGGAACTTCAAGTGCTCTCCGGGATGAGATTGCTCTGAATTCAGGGACAGGAGCAGAGGAAGCTTTAAGCAGAAACAATGTCTGGGATGTGCCCCTCCCAGCCCCCCACCCCCCTGCCATCTCAGGACATCTACAAGCCCAAGCTGAGCAGAACAGCTAGGTGAAGTCTGGGGACGGACCCTTCTGGTTTCTGGAAGCTTCGAGGCAGAATCGGTACATTTGATGACTGTTGACTCAGGATGCAGACCATTTCTGTGGTCTGAAAGAGAGTTCCTGATTATAAGCCAAGTGCCTGTACAGCCTCTGCAAATGGAGAAAAGCATTCAAATTCACTGTCAGCCAAATGTTTTGAGTTTTAACGTCCAAAAAAAATGAAAATTAGGAAGTGTTACTCTGCTCTGAGAGAGTTGCACCTGGAATTCTAACCCAAACAAGTATGACTTTGTGTGTAAAATAAAAAGGCCGGTTTCTTTTGCTCAAGGTTAAAATGGGAAATTTTACATAATTGTGAAATTTTAAATTGCTTTTGCAACCCCCTTCCCCACCTCTGCAAGCAGAAGAGCTGATGTTGGGTGGCATCAGCCTCCTGATTCACGAATCCGCCTTCTCCCTGCCATGAGGAAACCCGTTTAGGCTCCCATCCCTCCGTTACCTGTGAGGGCGTTGGTGTCGGCCTTCTTGCTCTCCTGGTTGCCCCTTTCGGCCCACACATAGACTTTGTACACCTCTCCTGGCTTTAGGCCCGTCAGGACGGTGCTGCTCTGCTCCCTGGGGACCGCCGTGTCCTTTGTGTCCCCATCAGCGGAGGTGTAGCGCACCACGTACTTATCTATGACAGCCTGGACGGGGATCCAGGAGACCACTGCTGTGTCTTCTGTCACTCGATCAGTGACCACGTTGGTTGGGCTATCAATTTCTTCATGAAAATATGAGAATAAAAATTAGAGAGAGACATTTGGTTGGTCAAGATCACAGCAGCTTCAAGCTCCAGTTCATCCAGGTGACCTAGTTCCACAGTCCACACAGTACAAGAGGGTCTCTCCATCCTCTGTGACAGGTGGACAACTGGCCTCTGCTTGAACCCTCGGCTGAGGAACCACCCCCACCCTGAGGGACCAAACAATCCCCTCCATTTTGAGACCGCTGAGCACAGTAGACATTAGTTCCCACAAATGTAGCCACTTAAGTGGAAGTCCTTCCGGAGGCACATAGAATACACCTCATGCTCTTCTGGGAGACCCTCGAGCAGGTGTTCAAGAATAGCTACCACTCTCCTTCCTAATTCTCCTATGATCAAAACACCTTCATCTCTCCAAGTAGGCACTTGCAAGTTACTAGTTTTTACATTGTTCTATCATATCCTGGCATACCGTATCGTATCATATTATACTTCCAAATTGCAGTTTCTAGAACTGGCACATTTAGATTGGCCTCCTTTCTTTCCCTGATCAGGGAAAAAAAAACCCAAAACTCAGTCCATTCATTCAGCAATTCGCTGAGCATCCATTCCATGCCAGGGAATATAATGGCACTCAGGAGTCACCAATGAACAAAACCAGCAGAAATCCCTGCCTATGCAAGACTGATGTTCTAGAAGGACCAACCCAGAACAACACGTCCTCTGTGTCCTGGACACCGTGCTCCTCAATAACATATCCTCAGACCACAGCCTGGGAAAATCCCTATGCTTTTTCACACGTGTCCCTGTTAACCCAGGGGTTCTCGACCTTTGTCAACACTGGGCACCTACTAGGTACCACCTCCAGAGAGTTCATTTCAGAAGGTCTCAGATATGTGCTGGCATCTCTGCTAAAAAAAAAAAAAAATATGCAAACTCAGCAGGTGATTCTGATGTACATCAAAGGTTGAGAAACTCCACGTTAAACCACATCTTTCCCACTTCTGCATATAAAATATATTTCCTGAACCCAATGTTTATTCTTGTTATATTTTATCTTATGGACTTCATTCATAATTTAGTCTTTCACTTAACATGCTGATTTTCCTTTCTAGCTTATCATTTACAAACCTAATAAGTAAGCCATCTGAGCTCAGCAGCCATCAAGGTCACCGACGAACGTGCCTCACGGAACAAAGCTGAGGCACACCCCGAGAACCCTGCCTACGTGCAGATCTATATCCTTTTGGGTAAAGACACACAAAACAGCTTCTTACTCTCAGAAATTCAAGCAGTTTTGCTTCTCACCATCCTGTTCTAGTTCTCCTGGCCCAGGATTCTCCAGCAGAGAAGATACAACTTTACATAGCTGCGTTTTTTCACATCAACTAGAATCACTTTCCTGGAGCACAATGGCAGTGTCTTATGTGTGTGCAAAGAAATATGTTCCATCACCAGAGGCTGTGCATGTTTTATTTAATAAATCAACTGTCATTGATTGAGCATATACTAAATTCAAGGTGCTTTTCACACATTACTTTATCAAACCTCGTAGTAATAACTCAAGGCATTTATCAGATTCCCCACGTACTAGTTTGGAAAATTAACAATAGTGATCATTTTTTGAGCACTAATTGTATACCAGGCTCGGAGAGGTTAGATGACTTAGCCAAGGTCACTTTGCTAGTAAATGATAGTCACTTACACATTCTACACACCTTCCCTGAATGCCTAGTTGGAGCTGGGAATTTAGTTTAACTCAGTTATAAATTAAAGTGTGCCCCCCCCCAAAAAAAGATATGTCAAAATGCTAACCCTCAGTATCTCAGAATGTGACCTTATTTGGAAATAGGGTCTTTCTAGAGATGAGCAGGTTAAAATGAGGTCATTAGAGTGAGCTTAATCCAATATGCCTGGTGTCCTGATGGAAGAGGGAATTTGGACACAGAGCCAGACACACACACAGGGAAGAAGATATGAAGACACACGGGGAGAAGCCAGCCATGTGGCTGGAATGCTGCATCTATAGGGCAAAGAATCCAAGGATTGCCAACAAATCGCAGAAGCTAGAAGAGGTGAGGAATGATTTTCCCCTAAAACCATCAGAGAGAGCACAGCTCTGCAGACACCTTGATTTCAGGCTTCCAGCCTCCACAACTGGGAGACAATAAATTTCTACAGTTTTAAACCACCCAGTTTTTGGTACTTTGCTACAGCAGCCCTAGGACACTAATACAGTTGACCCCTGAACAATGCAGGAATTAGGCCCCTCAATTTTGCTCAGTTGAAAATCCACCTGTAACTTTGACTCGCTAAAAACTTGACTGATAACCTACCGTCGACCAGAAGCCTCACCAATAATAAACATTCGAGTGACACATATCTTGTATGTTATATGTGTCACAGACTGTATTCTTACAATAATACCTCCTTTTTCTTAGTGTTTTCAGGATTTCTAGGCTATGTGGTTTGTCTGTGAGTTTTTCCCAATTGTCACGAATCTCAAAAAAATTCCAGTGTATTTATTGAGAACAATCTGCACATGAGTGGACCTGGCAGTTCCAACCAATGTTGTGTAAGGGTTAACTGTATAAGCCATGAACAGAATAGACTCTCTGCTATAGAATTTACATTTTCCTGAAGGAGACAGACGATAAACAAGTAGTGATGGTATTAGGAAGCTCAATAAGGCAAGATAGAGGAATAGAAAATGCTGAACAAAAGACATCTGTGAGCTTAGACAGGGAGGTCAGGAAAGAACTGGCTCACCAGGAAGGGAACATCTGAACAGAGACTGAAATGAAATGAGGCAGTGGACCACATACAGTCTGGGAACCTCATTCCAGACAGAAGGAGCAGCATATGTAAAGGCCCTGCTCCACATATTCAGGGAACAGCAAGAGGCCAAAACATCTGGACAGAGTCAGTGAGGGAGCTGAGTGCTGGAGGTGAGGCCAGGGAGGTGAGGGGTGAGTGGACTGTGGGCGGCCTCCAACAACTGTGGCTTTTGCCCTGAATGAGATAAGAAGCTTCTAGGGGTTGGCACAGAAGAATGGCATGACCTGCGCTATCAAAAGACCCCTCTGGCTGCCAGAGAGAGTAGGGGTGTAGTGGGTCGAGAGTAGAGGTCACCTGGGAGGCTGCCCCAACAGTGGGAGAAGACAGGAATGTGGACCAGTGTGTCAGGGATGAAAGTCATGAGAAAGGTTGGATTGGGGAGATTTCAAATGTATACTTGTCAGAATCTGCTGATGGAGTTCATGTGGGACACAAATCCATCCTTCCATCCATCCATGTTATTTTGAGGCCTGAGCGATTTGCAGAAGGGGGTGACCCTTTACAGAGATGATGGAGAGATCTGAGGGAGGGCAGAGTTTGCAAAAGAAGGTGGGGAGAATGGGACCAAGAATTTGCACCTGGACACTTAAAAGTGCTAGAGCCAAGATGTGAACCATTCCTATCTGTCAATGCACCTCCACTTTCTATGTCCCCCGAGCAGCACTATCACCAGCCTTTTCTTATGGAAATAAGAACTATAAATAAATAAAATCAAGTGTGATCTGAAAGCTTCCTGCAATCTGAATCCAGCAGCAGCAGGGAACTGGAGCTTGTCGTGACAACTGGAACAGGGAAACAGTCTTACACTGTTGCCTTTGGGAGACAGGCTGGGCTGAGTGAGCAGTACAATCGGGAGCAAACAACAACAGGGCCACGTCCTGGGCCTCTGGAGGCTGGAGCAGGCTCTCAGAGGATGCTCAGGGGCCGGTGTACACAGGAGAAAGAACTCTTTCCCCACCCTGCTCCCCTTTCTGTGCAAAGCATGATTCTGCAGAGGACAGGGAGGGAATGAAGACAGCCTCCAAAGGTAACAATGTCAATCTGGGAAACCAGTGCTGACTTGGGAATGGGGACATTTAGAATGGAAAGTGAGGATGGGGAAAAAGAGGGCAAGAACACCCCACAGTCCTGCCTCTTAAAGTCCCTGGTCCTCATTTGCAACGACGTGGATGGAACTGGAGGGTATTATGCTGAGCGAAATAAGTCAAACAGAGAAAGACATGTATCATATGATCTCACTGATATGAGGAATTTTTAATCGCAGGAAACAAACTGAGAGTTGCTGGAGTGGGGGGGGGGTGGGAGGGATGGGGTGACTGGGTGATAGACACTGGGGAGGGTATGTGCTCTGGTAAGCGCTGTGAATTGTGCAAGACTGTTGAATCTCAGATCTGTACCTCTGAAACAAATAATGCAATATATGTTAAGAAAAAAAAAAGAAGAAGAAAAAGAAGAAGGTAGCAGGAGGGGAAGGATGAAGGGGGGGAAATCGGAGGGGTAGATGAACCATGAGAGACGATGGACTCTGAAAAACAAACTGAGGGTTCTAGAGGGGAGGGGGGTGGGAGGATGGGTTAGCCTGGTGGTGGGTATTGAGGAGGGCACATTCTGCATGGAGCACTGGGTGTTATGCACAAACAATGAATCATGGAACACTTCATCTAAAACTAATGATGTAATGTATGGGGATTAACATAAGAATTAAAAAAAAAAAAAAGTCCCTGGTCCTCATCCTCTCCAAAGTGAACCACATTTGTACAACCCATGGTCCCAGCAGTGCCCCTCACCACCCCTCCCTGGCCCAGATCAGCGCTTGGCACCGTAGCTGCAGGACCCCCAGCATAAGCCTCTGCCTTGTGGGGTCAGGGACCTCTGTGTGTGCAGCCCTCTCAGGATCCACCATGCCCACGTGAGTGTAACCAGCCCTGATGCATCTTGTTCCCTCAACAGTCCCAGAGCACTTGAGGGATGGACAGCCAGGAAAGGCATCTTGGCCATGAAGAGTAAGAAAGTAGGAAGGAAAAACAGAATCCTCCCATGCCAGGGTTCTAGAGACCTAGCCCAGAGAGATATGACTTCTCCAAGGTCATAAAGCCAGTTAGAGGCCTGGCTAGCCTGGAACTCAGGACTCTGCCCTTTCCCTCAATCAATCCCCTAACCACACCACCCTGAGCCAGAAGGAGGGTCTTCGTGAAGCACTCCTCTCTGTGATAAATCTAAGGATGGGAACCAGACACCAAGACACAGAAGCAGGAGAGCCTCAGTGATGGGATCCTGATGATGGGCCACATGGCTGGAAGAAGCCAGCTGAGCAAGACCAAAGCCTCTCTGTCTGCCAAGAAGGGGTGCGGGGATCATAAACAGTTTTTCCAAGGAACACAGCAGTAGCTGCAGACGGCTGGCTGAATCACAGATGAGTCACAGCGGGAACCTCAATGAGGAGACAGGCTCTCCTTCCCAGTCCTCAACTTCCTTCCCACCTGCTGGACACTAGCAGCCCTGATGGGACCTTTCTCGGGGCCATTCAAGGTCAAAGACTTAAGACAAGACTTGGTAAGTAGACCTTTGAGTTGCATGTGTTAGAATAAAGGGCCTCCCCACTTCAGAAGATCTACTTTACAAAACTGAGTGGACAGAAGAGGCTAATTAAGGGCTCTGGGCACATCGGGAAAGTTTATTCCACTTTATAATGAGATTTGCCACCGGGCTGGGTAGGGCACTGCTGTCCTAGGTCTGCTGGAACACCAGCCTCACATGTCCCTGTTCCAGCCCATGGCCTCAGGCATTCAGAATAGCTTTCTCCATTCCCAGTGGCTACTTCTGAATCACCCAGTTGGCATAGTGGAAAATGGCACAGCCAGGATCTAAAATCTACAGGGATATGGGCTTGGGGGCAAAGACGGAGGTTAGGGCCTTATGCCCCTAGTTTGAAAGTGAGTTCCTGGAAGGTGAGGCCTTCCTTCGGACTACAGCAGCCAGGCGTCCCCTCACCTTGCTTCCTCAGGCCTCCCCTATACTGCTTTCACTGTGGCAATAAAATTATCCCAAAGACCTCACTTGTAGAGAATGTGCTCAGAGATCAACCTCTCTTCCTGCTCTCCTCTAGCTTTGCTTCTGGAAAGGTTGTGATTTGACCTCAAGCAACCCTCCGTTCAAACGCCACCGTTCACTAGTTCACCCTGATCTCCTAAGCTGTGTGGGCTTCCATTTTTCTCACCTGTAAAATGGGAATAATAATGCCTGTAATGCTATTATAATGACAAAGATAATGTGTACGGAGCCCTGAGTACCTAGAATATAGGGGATACTCAAATGATGAAGATTATTATTATTTTTCAGCCACTGGGTGTACGTGGGTGGCTGTGTGGGAGGCAGGAGCTCTGAATGTTGACAGGAGTTCATCTTGCAACATGAAGGAGTTTAAGAAGGAAAGTTTTAGGGGCTGGGCCATTGCAAATGCAGCAGTATGTTTGGAAGGCAGTAAAAAGAGAAAAAGATCCAAAGAGAGGCAAAACTGCTATTTCACGGCACTGTCAAAGGGAAAAATTCTAAGAAAATTGTTAACACGTGACTATGCGAGGCTGTACGTTCCGCTGGGCATGGGAGCTGGTGGGATTATAACAAAGCAAGCAGGCCTTTGTTCTGGACTCACCACAGAAATGCATGAATCATGGAAGTTATGAAAACACTTATAATAATATAAAAAAAAAAAAGAGGGACTTTAAGCTCATTTAGTCCAACCTTTCCTTTTACAGATGAAGAAACTGAGGACAAAGGGGTAGCATCACCTCTTAGTGGCCTGCCCCTCCTGTCGTTGGATGTGGGGTGGTTGGGAGGGTCTGGCAGCGAAGTTCAGGGCCCTTTCCCCCGAAGACACTGGCCTGGCAGATGCTCGCTGCTCTGAAGTTGACCTGCTTCTGGAAGTCGCTTCAGTGCACTCTGAGTGTCTTAAAGGGTGAGAATTTTCAATTGACCGCTTCCCTTTCGTGGATTAGTTCCACTGAGTGACTTGTTAAATGGAAAATACCTGAACTGTGTCATTTCTTCCCTGCACATGGTTATGCTGTTCTTAGATTCCAATGTCTTTTTCCATCTCAGGCAATGCAAAATATTTGGAGAAAAGAGAGATTCTTCCCCCCCCCTTAAATGAATGAACAGTCTAGCCAGGTTTGAGAGTGTTTCCTGACCTCAGAAATGATTGTGTCTTTTTTTTTTATGTTCGTTGGACACATGACACAAATTTATTTGCTACCCAATAAAATATCCCATCCCACTTTTAGAATATAACTGACAATAAAAATGCTTCTTGAGTGCTCACATTCTAGTTGGGATAACATATTTGAAAGGTTAACTAGCAATTCAAGGCCATGTGTGATTAAATGCTCTAAAAACTCAGAGGCAAAAACAGTTGCTCTTTAATGTGGTCCCACAAGGCCTCGGTGGAGAGGCTAAGGTTGGAGCTGAGCCTGGAAGGATGAGTGATCTTATTGCTATGAGCCTCTGAAGGGCAAGGACCAGGACTTTTCATCTTTGGAAGAATCTAAAGGGACGATGTCTCTAGTGCCCAGCAGTACTCTGCAATTAGTTTTTGTTTAATTAATTGATAGCTTGAATTAACTGAATTCCTGATTGAATTAATGGATAGCTAGAGATAACCGTAGAGGGTTTCCTAGGCTGGCATAACATGAAAAACCCATAATGCAGAGATAAGCCTTCTGTGTTAAGAAACCCCGAAACAGAGACACCTGGGTGGCTCAGTTGGTTAAGCACCCGACTCTTGATCTCAGCTCAGGTCTCGATCTCAAGGTTGTGAGGTCAAACCCTGTGTTGGGCTCCATGCTGAGTGTGGAGTCTACTAAAAAAAAAAAAGAAAAGAAAAGAAACCCCAAGAACAGTCCAGCATCAGGGAGGTTTTCCATTGGGAAGTAGGAGTGAGGAGAACAACAGCCCAGGATGGTCAGATCCAGTCCGAAATCAATGAGGAGTCACAGAAATTTTTCTAGTTAGGAGGTAAACAGTAGGAGAATTAGCCAGAAACAATGAGTGAAAAGGTAAAAGTGGGAGGAACTTTAGTTTTGTGTCCACCAAAGCGGATATCCTAGGTTCAAAGCCCAGCTCTGTCATTTCTTAGCTAGGCAATTCTGAGTTTAACTTCCCAGGTTTTTTTGTTGTTGCTTTTTTTTTTAAGTGACTTAGAAATAATACTAGGACCTACCACACAGTTACGGTGAAAACTAAATGAGATCATTTATGAGAAGTACTCAGTTAGCATAATGCCTGATGCATAGGAGGCTCTCAATGAATTCACAGCTAACAAGAAAGCCACCGGAAACAAGGAAGTCCTTGCCATCTTCCACCCCACTAAAAGTTTTTACCAGTCCACCACTCAGGCAGGCTGCACAGTCTGTATTGTCTCATTCCTAAATGAAGTTATAGCTTTACTTTTACAACTGTCTGACTCTAACTTTCACACTACAGATAATGCGATCTGTTAGGCAACCGAAATAGCGAATTCCATTCCTGCACCATCTCACCACCCTGGCTAGCTCCTGCCAGGACAGAATCGTGTAAAGAACTAAAACACGTTTCAAGGAAGTCTCGAAATTCAAAGATCCCTTCTTGGCCAGCTTCAAGGACTAGCCTTCCCCCAGTGGCATGATAGTCTAGCTCACCGGTTCCCGACTTGGGTTGGCAAGATCTCCACCATTGCAGGATGATGCACCATTCCACATGGACTCAAGCATTGGCTCAAAACTCAAAGCTACGTGGACTAGCTTGCACATATGACTACAGGGATTTCAAATTATTTTCTGATTCATAAATTACAAATCTATCGTCAAGTGTTACTGATTTATAATGTCTGTCATTATATATGTTTTCACAGTCCACAGATGTTCAAAATACCACTGCTCCCATGTGAGAGTCTTTAAAATCTTCTGACATTTTAAAGCAGAGTGCTTGAGTGTGATCATCAGGGAAAAAACACAAGAATAATGGGGAAAAAATTACAGATCACCTGTCTTAGGTAATAGGGAGTTGTGTGCCTAGGTCCAAAATAATGAATAAAAATAATACAGTGATAAGAGCTAATAAAATAAGAAGAAAGATGTCAGAAATGGCCTTTCCCCTTGACTCCGAGATCCTAGGGGAAATTTTCAATGGTAAAACACATTTCAAATAGGAAAAGTTTCCTTCCCTTCCCCAGCCCTACAACATAGATGTCAGTACACAAAGAGAATCTCTCTACATACAAATCCCAGAGTTTTTATCCAGAGAGGAGTCAGCCAAGAAAAATATCAGAAAGCAAACTGGAGAAATATTCATAGTGCTTCTAAATAGCTCCTACCTGTCTTGCCATTCAGGAGAATCGGTTTGCCCTCCAGTTCTCCTTTCATGGGAACAACGGTGATCTTATATTCTGTCCCGGGCTGCAGACCTGCCAACAAGCAGCCAGGGCTCGGTGAGTTCGGGCTCCAGACCCTTGCCCCCAACGCTGCTCTCCCCCAGGATTTCCCTCATGAGGGGAGGTGAGGGGCTATTCTTCTCACCCGAAGATAAATCTAAGGCAGAGGAAGAGTGGTGGGGCCAGTGGAATACAAGGCGTCGTCGAGGGGCTTACGGGGGTGCAGGGGGCCAGAGTGGATGAGGTGAAGGTAACAGAGCTCCTTTCTTGGGCTGCCAAGCACTGATTTCCCAATTTTATTTATAGCCCAAGTGGTTTTCTGCCCTCAACAATCCTATTCCCTCAAAAGTTTCTTTCCGCCTCATTGCAATAATTAGCCTAACTGTATTCCATTATTTTCTTCTTTGCTTGGCCCTTTTTTGTTTGTTATTTCTCTGCAGCAGTGGTTTGAGTAACTGTTCTCTGTGGCACAGAAATCCAGACTGTGGCAAAGTACGGGCAGAGAGCAGCGTGTGGGAGGCACACACACTGCTCTCCGCTCCGCGGACCCTGGGAACCCCAAGATGTCCTTCCAAGATGGAGCTCACAGAGTGGACAGTGGAGGAGGACTTACCCATGGAGCTAATAAGGCTCAAGGCCCCCCTTCCCTGCACGGGCCACCTCCAAGGATATTCACTTGGGTATTCATGATTGTGTATTATTTTCCTTAAAGAGAGCCCTGAAAATTCTCTAAGCTTCAGGAGTCACAAAATGTGATCCAGCCCTGCATGGCCCTGTTTCCTTAGTGGCCATCAGATTTCCAGCTCTCAGCAGATAAACTAGGTCAGTTGGGACAAGGACCTCCCCACCCAGGCCTCCCAGCATCACTCCTTCCATGCAGCATGCCTAATAAACCAATCTCTCTCTCTCTCTCTCTCTCTCACTTCCTCTCTCTCTCTCTCTCAGACACACACACTCACACATTCACACACACAGACACACAAACACACATACACACAGTTCTTCCAAAAGGAATGTCTGTACCAGCATATCCACCCTGAGACACAGACAGGGTTTTCAAGAGGACATTGGGCCTATAATCTGTCAACCAGGTGCTCTGAGATTCCAGAGTCAGCTCTGGGACCCTAGAGCACAGGTCTGCAGACCTACAGACTGGGCTCTTATCTGGAGTTTCCAGGGTCAGAATTCAAAGTGATTCCTAGGGCCCCAGGGCCCTCTGTGCACACTGTCCCCACCTCATCATCCACAGCAAATGTCCCACATCCCCAGTGTTGGCTCTTACCCGTGATGTCATATCGGCTCTTGGGGTCACTGCTCTTGGGCACAGTGACCTCAGCCACCTCCTGCCCTGTCAGGGGGCCATACTGCAGCTTGTAGTAGTCCACCTCGGTCGGGGGGTTCTCCCACTCCACATCAAGCGAGTTCTCAGTCTCATCTGTCACCCACGCAGTGCCAAGAACGGCAAGATCTAGGGCAGGGGTCAGGGAAGGCAGGAGAGAACAGTGAAGAGCAGAGCTCGGGCAGGTCTGGAGCAGAACATTTGCTACCGGGTCAGTGCCCTTCCTTGACACACTGAGAGCATGCTTCAGCCCAGGACATAATCCTTAACAGGTATCTTAAAACCACCAAAGTAGCAAATAAACTGTTGGCTCTCACATTATCCATGGAGGACAGACTATCTACTGGGAAAGCCTCCTCTCTCCCATCCCATCAGATGCCATGCTGCCTTCCCTATCCCAGCCGCCATGGGCCAAGCCCTGGACCACACTTCTCCAACCAGCCATCCAAACCGCCGGACCCACGGGTCAGGCTGCCCTGAATGAAACACACCCTTTCGCTGCAGAACCCTGCCCTCAAAGACTCAATCCCAGGAGGAGAAGCTCAGCTTCTCCCATGTAAAGTGTGGGGAATGCATTTGAAATTTTCTGGAGTATAATACTGATAATACAACCAGTGTCTTCCTCCATCTCCCAAATTACAGCTCCTTCCTTGCCACTCAAATTCTCCTACGAAGACTAACCCTAGGGAAAACTATAAAATAGGTGAATTTTAACTTGGTCCTTCTGAGTATCTTTCCTGCGCCTTCCACCACAGTTTAGACCTGGTGACCTCAGCTGTCCAACCTGTCCAACCTGCAGAGGAGAGTTATTGTACCCCTCTATTCATAGTCAAGTAATAATGGCTAAATGTTTATCCCTCCACTTGGAAAACAATGAAATTATAATGATTCACGCGAAGGAATGGATCCAAGGGAAGAACTTTTGGGTGGTGGCTGGGGAGGGGACTGCTTTTTTGAGAGCACCGTGAGTTCCAAGGGCCATATCTAACGGCCATACCCACTGGATGTCATCCGACCTGAAGTCTGAAGCCACCAGGCTCTCAGCCTTGCCCCTTCCTTGGTCACGTGCCCACCTTCGCCACCTTGGTGGTGCTCCCTAGATGCTCCCTAGGCGGGCTGACCACTTGTCAAGGACATGGGACAGAGAATTTATGTATCAGGCAGGGGGTGAACTTGGTGCTCTTAAGGTCCCTCGGGTCTGAATGTCTCTGATTCACTCTCTTATGAACAGAGAACCTCACAGAGCCTTTTCTCTGAAGAATTTCCTCCCACCTACTGGCTTCCATCTGCCAGCCTCCAGGTTCTTCCTTCAAAGATGGGAATTCCTTAAGGGAACAGGTCAAGAGGTCAGTAAGGAAAGTGACTCAAGGACCATAGAAGGGTCCTCTACAGCTCACAAGTGAAAAAGCAGAGACTTAATGAAAATATTCAAGATTATTGTGGGGATAAGTGTCTCTTGGACCCAGGCTCCCCTGAGGAGCAAACAGAATGGGTTTAACATGAATCAGATTAGATAGAAAGACAAGCTTTACAGTTGCAAGATTTTCCAAGCCCCTAGCGCAGAAGCCAAGAGGGGTTACTAAGACTTTCAAAACAGCTGTCTCTGCTCTTCAGTGGGAGGCTGTGGGCACTGGCCTGTCTAGAGACAGAGGCAGCCACAGACAAAAAGGGGGAGCTGGCCTGGTTCTCACAGGTAAGCTTGGGTGTGCTCCCATTGAGCATAAACAATTTCACAGAACATCAACATCAGGCAAGCCACTGAGTGGCCATGATAGCTGACGACAAAACAAGGCCATTCCATAATCATGTCTGAATACAGGCAAAAACAAGAACACTGTCCAAACCACAAAAACTACCCAATATTCTCTCCCCTAATATGAGTGACTACCCTTCTTCACTGATGATGGCTTTAGCCTCTCTCTAGTCTGCTCTTTCTAGATAAGGTTCACTAAGTTACCAGTCATGGAGTTAACTCCCCTTGATGACAGCATGCAAGCCAAAGCAAACCCCTGCTGCCTTCAACTTCCCCCAAATCACCCAACACAAGCCCCAATTCTATCCCAGTCCTTCCTAATGCTCTTACTGAGATACCCACAACCCCTGTGCTGTGTTGTCCCACATGCCAACAGTCAATAAACCCAACCTGCTTGACTCCAGCAGTGTCCTGAGGGGTCTATGGCTGGAGGGGATCGATAAAGGCAATCACAAATTATACTCCCAGGATGACAGGTCTCTCATGGCCCTTTCCAACATGGAGCCATCCCTATCCTCACCACTGAACAGGACAGGCAGCCTGATGTTTCTGCAGAGACAACCATGTGCCCAAAAGCCCAGCTATCTGGGTGTCCCTGGATCTCTCCCCAGGAGTTTAGTGAAGGGTGGAGGCAGCTGATTTTTATCAGCATCTAGAATAGTGCCTGGTACACAGGAGATGTTCAGTAAAATAAGATGAGTGAATGAAGGGATCAGAATCACTCAAATAACTAGGTTTTTCCAAGCTCTTGAAGATCTAAGTTGCTTGAAGAACTTTCATGAGAAAACAAGAATTTCTAAACAGTAAGCAGTGAGGCTTGTCTCTCCAAACATTTTGGTAACATTTGGTGGTACACTGGAGACTCTGTCCCTCCAGATCCATCTTTTGTCCTGCTGTGTATCCCAGATTATGACCTGTATGAATTGTGTTAAATCAGATCCCCTTGCCCTCTGGCTTCTTGTTACGTTCAGCCAGTAAGTTACCAGAATATCAGAGGGCAGGATAGAGAATTTAGCAACTGATCTGCTTCCCTCCCTCCCAGTGAGGCCATGGTGGACCGCCTGCATCTCTACCCAAAGTGCCTCTGCAGGCAACCCTCTCCTACAGCTCTTTTTGGGTCCCACTACCAATTTCCATCCCTCCCCCTTCAGAATGGGGTGGATCCCCACTGATGCTAGTCCTAGAGTACTTCACCAGCCAAATCCTACCCATCCATGCCTCTTCACTAAACTGTCTTCAATTACGCTGTTTACTCTCTCTCTTTCCTGCTAAGATGAATCTGATACAGGCGGCTTCAGCAAATCTCCAGCCATCATCCCACCTCCAACTTGCTTAATGGCCTCAAAGCGTCAGTGAGGGCCTGGGTGTACAGGTATACTCCTTGGCTGCTTGTGTGTGGCTGCAGGGCAATCAGACCTTACTAATCTTAGGCGCGGAGAGACCCCTTGAGCCCCAGTCCAGCAGGCTCTATTACTGACTTGCAGGAGCCGAGAAAAGGGAGCAAGAACTGAGATTTTTCTCCAGAAACCAGGATTGCAACAGCTACGTTTTTCAACTGCCAAATGAGGGCAATGTTCTGAGTAGTCGAAGGGTATTTGTGGGAACAATGGAAGAAAACATTTAAGATGGGGCCTTTCCTGGGAAACCGAGGCACCCCACTGCTTCCTCACCCGTGGTAGCAAGTAGATGCTGTGGGCCGCTGGAAACCGCTTTCTTCACGTTGCGCAGGGTAACTATGTACTTGGTTCCAGGCTGCAAACCAGCGATGTCATAGGTGTGCTGCTCCTTGGGCACTTGGATCTGCTTCCCAGAGAGCTCCGTCCCCAGAGGGTAGTAGCTGAGGAGGTAGTGGTCCACCTCGCTAGAGGGCTCCCAGCTCACCAGCAGGGAATCCTCCCTGCTCTTGAGCAGCTGTAGGCCCTGGGGAGCCACCACTATGCAGAACAGGAAGAGGAGAGGAGAGGGTGAGGAAACGGGTGGAAATGCATAACCAACGTGTGGTCACCGAGCACCTACTATATCCTTAACACTGGCGGCAGGTTAGAGCACACAGCGCCTGCGTAGAGCACCACTCTGGACACCCCCCCCCCACCCCCGCGGGAAGTTATGTGGTTGGGAGTTAACACCGACTCACACACCCCCAGACACACACACTCACACACACACACACAGCGCCAGCAGATCACAGAAGACCACCGGTTCTCAAACCAGCAGCATCAGGATCATCTGGAACTGGTTATTGATGCAAATCCTCGGGCCTCACCCCAGACCCCCTGCCTCAGAAACTTCGGCTGACCCAGCAATCTGTGTTTCACAAGCCCCCCCAGGGCTTCCGAGGTGGACTAGAGGCCGCGGCCCCGCGCAGGACCGGGTGTCATGATGGCTAAATGGCGCCCGCGCGGGGCAGGGAAAGGAGGGAGTCGGGCCTCTCGGCTCTCACCCTGGGCGCAGTCGAAGCCTCGGAAGCCCTCCTCGCAGTAACACTCGCCCGCGTCGCAGAAGCCGTGGCCGCTGCAGTCACCCGGGCAGCGGCGCTCGCTGCAGTCCTCGGACGTGAAGTCCTCGTGGCACCGGCAGACGCCGCGCACGCACGCGCCGTGCCCGCTGCAGTCGTCGGGGCAGGCGGTGTAGGCGCAGTCGGCGCCCACGTAGGGCGGCTCGCACTCGCAGAGGCCGGCGGCGCAACGCCCGTGGCCACTGCACGCCCCGGGGCAGGCGGGCCGCTCGCACGCGGCACCCTCCCAGCCCTGCTCGCAGCGGCAGGTGCAGGTCTCCGGCGAGAAGGTCCCGTGGCCGCTGCAGTGGAGGCTCCCACCTACCAGCAAGAGGAAAGCAGGCTGGGGGCAGGGCCGGCGAGCGGGCTGGCCCGGCCTGGGCCCCGCACAGCGCGTTCTTCGGAGGGCAGGGCCCAGGACGAAGATGGAGGTCTGCCCTTTCCAACCTGGGCCAGACTCTGACCTGTGACAGCTACAAACGTGTCCTGCTTTTACGCCCCCAAACGCCACGTGAAGTCTCTCCCCTTTCCCATCTCATCCAAGCGCTCAGGTGAATTCTGGTTCCCTCCGTTCTAAATGGTGGTTAAGTATTTAGGACCTAACAATGAAGACGCCTGGACTGCTGCAGCTCGGGGTCAGCGCGCCAGCTTGTGCTGAGGGGCAGGGTTCCGGGGGTGGGGGTGGGGGGCCGGCTGGCAGGTGAGATCCAGGCTCTCTGGGAGCAGGCTGGACCTTAGCAAGGCTGGGTCCTTGGGAAATGAGCCCAAACTGGATCCTGGAAAAGTGGGCCTGCAGAAGCTACCCAATAGCCCAGTCACACTATGGGGAGGGGTGGGAAAAGGGATCCCCCAGGCTCCCCTCTCTAACCCCCTGGCCGTCAGCAGCCCAGCTCCTGCTTCTCAGAACACCCTCTTTCCTTCCTAGACATTTTTGCCCTGGAGGCTCCTCCGCAGCAGTCCGTGCTGTGTCATTCATGGCTGTGGCCCTGGTGCCCAGTTGTCCCTCTGGTGTACAGGAAATGCTCTCAACGGTAGCACTTCCTCCAGCATAAACAGGTATGCCAACATACCCCTCATTATGATTTGGATCCGCTTTGCTAAATATCTACTATGGGCCTGGAAACTTCTGTATAGCACCTGTAGTCCTCAGACCTGGACAAGTTGATAGAATTATCCTAATTGGGCGGTTTAGAAAACTTCAGGATTTTACCCAGAGTCACACCACTAAATAGTGACGAAACTGGGGCATTTGTACCCCGTCTCGTCTAGCTCCAAGGCCGACCATCTTTCCTCTCCTTCCCACTGCTCCCTCTTCTGGTGGAGATTGGATTCACAGGTCAAAGAGCACCCAGGAGCGTAAACCCAGGAGTCCAGACTCACGGTAAGCGTTGCCGGGCCCTGTCTACCGAGGCTTGCAGATACTGCCTGGAGCTAGTGCCAAGGACAAGACCCCCCACCCGCCCCAAGAGTGAGGTGGGAGCGCACCAGACTCACAGAGAGCGCCTGGCACGTAGCATGGTTTGTTGAATGAGTGGCAAACTCACCAGCAGCCCCTTGGCAGCAGCGCTGGACATCACACTTGTCCTTCATCTCCACCATCTCCTCCTCCAGCTTCTTCACCCGGGCCAGGAGCTCTTGGACGCTGCTTGTTAGTTCACAGTCCTTCTGTGGCGTCTGCAGGCGGATGTTGTGCCTGAAGATGATGTTCTGTTCCTCAGCCTCCCCTGGGGCCAGGAGTGAGGCCCCATCATCACTAAGGGGCTGAGGGTCAGTCTCCACCTGGACCAGGGCAGACTTGGGCACGTCAATCTTGTAGGTGTGGCTGACAGTGACCTGTTGCTCCTTGTCACTGCAGCCGTGAGGTTCAAGGGTGGCTGGGGCTGATGCCACCAAAAGCACAGAGCCCAATAGGAGCCCCAGGGGGAAGCACAATGTCCCCTGGAGACCCATCTCGGAGAGACAGGGAGCAGAACCTGTAGGAGACCTGTATCCAGAAAAGATGCAAAAGACAAGCCATGGAGACTTGCTGATGGAAGCTGGCCTTTTGAATGGATTCTAGGAGCCCACAGGAGGCTGAGAAACCAGCAGAAATATTTCATCCTGTAGGTCCTGAGGATCCAAACCAAATGTTTTGTTCCTTCTCACACATTGCCCATTCCTGCCTCCTGTCTTTGCTTATACTGTTCGGTACCTGGGAGACCTGCCTCTTCACCTCTTATTCTATACTCACCTGACTAATAAAAACAACTGTCTCCTATGAAAGGCCTACTGTGACCAGGCTTCAATCCCCCCATCCCTAATCTATACCACACTCCTAATATTATCCCATCAAGACCACCTAGAGAACAACTGCACATAGAGACCTCTCCACTGTGAGAGGCAGCGACAATGTGCTGGAAAGACAAGTCAGGTCCTAGGTGTCTAGCCTTGTGAAGGCTGCTTATCCTGGCGTTAGCCTCCTCTCGTCAAGTGGGAATGGTCACACCTGTTTCACCGCATTATATGTGGACAGCACTTCATACCATGCCAGGGACACAGGAGGTGCTCACTAAATGCTTGAGGTTTTGGTTTTAATCAACTACTGAGTATGCTTTCCTTTTCCTTCTCATTTTTTTTATTGTGAAGGATGACATTTATCCTGAAAAGAGCACATGACAAAAATGGTATCATTTTAATGAATTGTTATAAAGGCAACCACCATGGAACCACCACCCAGCTTCAGAACTAGAATGTTGCCAACATCCTAGAAGCCTCCACAGGCCCTCATCTGATGCTGCCTCTTTTCCAACTCGGTAGTCAGAGTCAGCAGAACACCATCAAAAGGAGTGGACCGGAGCAAATAACTCTGTTGGTCATGAAAAGGAAGAAAGCATCATTAAACCCAGTTTTAATATTTTGTAAAATCTTTGATTTCTAAGAGTCAAGATTTATTTAGTATGAAGAAGTAGAGGATGAAGGTCCCTGGCAGAATTATCATTAAAGATAACAATAATAATATTATTATAACATTACCTGTTATTTATCAAGTTGCTGCTTTGTGCCAGGCATTGCCCAGGGGCGTTAACCCTCATACTTAATCTTCATCACTGCCAAGTGAGATAGATTAGTGCTACTTTGCTTATCCTGGGTGAGCAAACAGATGTGCAAGGCAAAGTCACTTACCAGGGGCTGTCCAACTAGTAAGTGTCACAGTCGGGATTTAAAACTAGGTCCGACTGATTGCAAACCTGTGCTGGCTCTGCATCCATATGACCTTCTGATACAAATAACACATGAGCACAGTATATATACCTTTTCTATGTCATTCCTTCCTTTGGGCAGACGCCCTGGGTGTTTTACCCAAGGGATGTGCTACCACTCTGAACTAAACCATGCAGCACCTAAGGAGAATTCTTCTTCAGGTTACCCCTTTGCTCACTCCTTCTTAGTTCTTCCTATAATCCAAAGCATGCATTATTGATGATAATAACTGGGGCTCCTGGGTGGCTCAGTCTGTTAAGCAGCTGAGCCTTAATTTTGGGTCAGGTCATGATCTCAGAGTCATGAGAAGGAGCCCCAGGTCAGCCTCCACACTCAGTGTGGAGTCGGCTTGAGGTTCTTTCCTTCTCCCTCCCCCCTGTTCCTCCCCACCGTTCATGTACAATAGATAGATAGATCAATAAATCAATCTTTTTTTAAAAAATTATAATATCTCACCTTTTCTGAGCACTTACTATGCCCCAGGAACTGGACTCAACATCTTGCAGATATAATGGAATGGTCAGTGAGCCATTTCTTGTCATGGGATTTGGATAGTGGGTAATAAGGGCCCACACATTCTAAAGAGAGATGCTTTACTGAAGCTTTTCTGGGAGGATGTTGGTTTGAATAGAAGGTGGAGGGCAAAGAGACCAGTACCTGCCTCTTGCCCAGAGGAATTCAGATGTGGGAGTTTGCCTGGAACAGCCTGCATAGCAGAGATTGGAGGGAGGGTATGGTGCACCCCAGAGTTTGGGGAGACGAGAATATGGAAGTCCTGCCATAGGTCAATGCCACATATATAGGGCAGCTGGGGGCCAGAGCTGAGGTGCAGCCCCGTGGCTCCGCAGGAGTGTGCTTCCCCAGTGGGCAACCCACGGGAGGAAGTGCCCAGGGGGTAGAAAGCAGACTGTCTGAAAAACCCACAACAGATTCCCACAAGAGGGGATGTGTGGAGCCAGCAATGGGAGCAGCTAACGAAACAAGGGTATCCGATAACTAGAAGGAACTGTAATAGCTCTAACTAGAAAAAAATCCCTTTTCCCTTCCCTTCTGACTCCCCTCCCTGCCTCAGTCAACAACCTGGGGAAGCCAGAAGCAGCCAGGCAAGTTGAGGGAGGTAGTGGGGGAAGGAAGGCACCAGGCCCACTAGGGCCCCTGCCCTCCTGCTCACCTGCAGATCCCTGATCCCAGATCAGGTCTGAGCTGGATAGGAAGAAAACATGGGGCCGGGATAGAAGACCGAGGCTCTCCTATTGGGATAGAAATGCCCTTCACAGAAGGGTTCTCTTCCAATACTAAAAGTGACCAGGAAGCTCTAGAATCTGCTTGGGATTTTTGTCAAAGGAGGGGGGGCAGCTGGAGGGGGAGATTGAGGAGGGCCAGTACAGCGAGTTGGAAGACAGATATAGGGTAAAAATAATGATAGTTCACAGTTGCTGTCCTCAGAAGTTCAACCCCATGATAACACAGTCACACATAGCTCTGTTCCTTCCCCAAAGCGGGAACTGAGACTCAGGGGCATCAAGCAATATGTCCTTGGTTATGCAGCAAAAGTACAAAGCTGCAAACTCAGTCTGCACAGTGTCCACTAACTGAGCCCTTAACCTCCCCCACTCCAGCACTTCTGTCACCCCCAATAGCCACACACACTGATCTCAAAGGCAACTTCTTTGTATGGAGTTTTCACTGTCCCAAATCCCCTTCCCAGGCAACAGTGGAGCTAGGAAAATGGGCTCGGACTTCTCTGCCCATTCCTGCCATCCAAACCCCGCCCCCACCCTATGGCTCCCTCTCTTCTGAGATGCAAATGGAGTACAGATGGCTTTTTGAAGAAGTTCTGCACGAATGCAAAACAGCTGCAGACTCCTGCCATAAACTGCAGCAAGGCTGCACGAAGCCCAGTCTCACTGTGTTTGTTTTTGGAAGCCTAGAATATGAGAAACCCCAGAAGCCCTCGTAGGAGCCCTCAGGGCCACCCGTCCTTCTGCCGCCTGTCGCTCGTAACAAGATGTCCTCGCTAATTGCAGCCTCTTGGATTACCTGAGTTGAGCTCAGATTTCCCTGGGCAGGGTGATTGTTCGAAAGAAGATGGGAGGGAGGCATCCTCGACCTAGCACTTCTGTCAAGTGTAATGAGCGAGAGGAGAAGCCTGCTGGCTTTCCTTCCAACACGTGGCAGGAGAGACTTGCCTGGTGGAAGAGCATAGGGAAGGGATGACCTCAGCAACGCCACTGGGACACATAGCCGTCTGACCGCAGACAGAGTCCGTCACAGAGGGGGCGGACAGGGCAATAAATGTCACCCAGGAAAATGCAGGAGAACTTCCCAAGTGGGCATGATTTTTCTGTTGAGGAATCACTTAGTAAATGCTGTGGGAATGTTTGAGACAAAGGGTATTTACTTGCGTGGAATGTGCCTGTGGGAAGCCACAGGAAACCAGGTGTCCCCCAGAAGCAGTCTCATTAACTCCGATCTTGTCTTTAATTCTGACTGCAGGAAGGGGATGTGGGGAGGTGGGGGGCAGAGGCATATTAGGACTCAGGACAAAGGCTGCCTGGCATGGCCTTTTCGAGAAAGGCTCTTTGAGGTGTGTGCTCCTGATCATCAGCTGGACGGCTGGTCCCCCTAGTTCTGCCCTGAAAGACACACTGATGTCACAGGGCTCTACATCGGTGCTCCATTCATTCTCTCTTGATGGCCACATCCACCCTTGTAGCTTCAATTTCCAGCCACACACTGATAGCCCCAGAATTTATCTGTGGGTTCCTCACCCAGACATCCCTGTCATCTCAGGCATGGCAGCGGCCGTGAATATGTGGATCCCCTCTGTGTCTCCAGTCTCATAGCACAATCCTGGCCAAGGTAATATTTGGGACATTAATAATAGCACCTAAGTTTTTCGCGTGTGTTTATCAGATGATGGGGACTGTGCTAGGCACTTTATAAATGTTATTCTCCCTTAGTCCTCACAATCCTGAGAGTCCATTGATATCATTAGTTGTTACAGGTGTTCAGAGAGGTTAAGGAGCTTGCCCAAGGGCACACAGTTAATAAGCAGCAGAGCTGAGACCAAACACCAGGTCTGTCCACTCTCCTTATCTGTGTTCTTCATCTCTCTACTATATGTACTGCCCCAGATTTCAAAAAGCCAGTGAGATTACAACATGTGAATAAGAAACCAACGTCTTCTTGCCTATCATATTTAAGAGAGGGGTTCTCCTGAAAATAAAAGAAACTCAAGGCTTACTGGGTGCTCAATTCAATCTGAATTGCTCTATAACTAAATCCTATGCCTATACTTCCTCTGAGCAGTGCCAAGTATGATCTCCTAGAAAGATAATTAGTTTTCCCCCAACAAGGAGGTTAAATCCTGCTCGCTTCTCATGAGATGTGGAGAAGTGCCTTCCCAAGAGACACAAAGCAGACCAAGACTTCTGTCTGGAGGGGCAGATGTCAACCAAGGCTGGGCCAGAGGAGAAGGGTGGACCCTGAGTCCCAGATAGTCCTCTCCTATCCTAGGGCAGATGGTCTCCACGTCACCTCATTTTCCCCAAAGAAGGACACACACCCTGGTCAGAAATAAAAAACACCACTTACAACAAAGAGAGTGGCAGCCAATTTCTAGCCACCATTACAGATCTTTCTACTTAAATTCAGGGCTTTCTTTGGTTCCCTCATTACCTCATCCTGCCTTTACAATTAACCACAAGCAAATGAGAACACTGCTTTGGGTTTTAGAAAAAATGTATCATCCATTTCCAGTACAGTTAAAAAAATATTTTTTAATATTCTGCCCCTAAATGACATGGTGGACATCACTGAGCTATGAAGGGAAGTGAGGCAGATGGTGGCTAGGGATGCAATGATGTCACAAATATCACCTGGCAAACTTGTCACTCCTTCCCCA